AAGGAACGTGCGCACGGGGATGAGAAGCAGAATAATAACAGGGAAACCGATAGCAGCGATGGTCTGCGTAATAGCAAAAGTAGCACCGAAACCGACCAATTCAAGAAGGACAAAAGCCCAAATTGCAACACGGCGTTCAATCCGCTTGAGAGGGTCTGAAGCAGGCGTGAAGTTCTTGTCTTGGGCGAGGAAGATCAGTTTCTGTGTAATGCCGTTGCCCTGTAGAGCTTGAACACCCATGATGAAGAAAAGACCGGCCATGACGCCCTGCGGAATCAGGTGCAGGACAATGAGTAGTGGGCCGGTCATTGTGCCTAGGGTTAAGAGTCCCTGGGAGAAATTGCTGACTCGCTGCTCGACGACGTGGTCTGTTATCCGGATGGCTTTGCCTTTGTTTGTGTCGTCCTCGTCTGCGACTTGGCGGGTAACGCACAGAGCAGTTGTGTGGAAAGGTGCTTGCGGGATTAAACCGTTTGGGAAGGGGATTCCTAGCAGACCAGCTACGAATGTTGTGAGACCGAGGAGCCAGATGTCCCAGTGGAAGCCGGCTGGCTTTCTGAGGGGAAATTCGGTTCCCTGGGCAATGAGGGAGGAGACTGGGGGATCAGATTGGCTATTTTAGATATGAGGATGGAGTGACAGTACATACCATTGTGATCGAAGTAGAAGAGAATAGTGAGAAGCAGTGCGAATGGAATAGCGAGGAAGATATCACCAACGTCGATATCCCAGAATCGTACCAGCCATGAACGATCCAGAGTGGGAAAGAAGGCCTTGCTGGTAGGAAGTGTAGCCACATCAACATCCCTCATATGGCCAATGTGAACGAAGCCGGTGAAGAAAATGATCGTAAGTGGTGTGCCATAGTCCTCAAGGAACTTCCGAATGAATCGTTTGAAGAGATTGCTGTTACCCAATTCTCCACAGATCCATCCACTCATCAGGACGAGTAGCGCGACCATGATGGCCAGGTATGCGGATGTTTCTCCCACAGAGCCCCATTGTCTGGTGAGTACTTGGATACCTTTCTGAAGATAGATGCAAGCAACATAAAATCCAAAGATGTCACAGGAGAATCGGGTGACATAGGTTAATGCGTTACAGGAATTGGTGATAGCCAGAATCCAGTGCATAATCAACGACCAACTAGATTCTCTGTCAGTAAGTTACGGCGAAGCTTGAGACATGCTGATCCAACTCACATGCCAATCCAGCACATAAAAGCAAGATAAGGCGTTCCTCGAGGGGCAACGATATCGTAGACAGTATAGTTGAACACAGTGATAGGACCTAGGAATGTCAGCTTCAGCCAATAGTAACTACAATCAGGAAACCTCACCAGTAACACCAACAATAACCAACGGCTGCGCCGCAAAGAGGGAGAACACAATAGCCCCAAGAACAGACGCAAGTAGAACTTCATTTACCCCGTAACTCTGACTCGTCTTCTCAAACATATCCAAAGAGAAAGCCAAAGCAGGCAAGATACTACAAGAAGTATAAGCAACCAACTAATCCATAGTGCATTGAAAATAGCAGAGAGACCGTACTTAGCAAAGTACATATAAACCGTCGCAGGAACGACGCGATAATCCCACGCATCAGTCCAATCAGTCCAATAATACGGCGCTCTGCGCTTAACATCATTCACCATCCCACGGAATAAATGAACATGCCACCATTTCGCCTTGGCCGAGTGAGCCGATGTCGCGGTCGATGTATGGCGCTGCGAGTCCTCTTGGACGGTGTTGTGCTGCTCCGCCGCCTGGGCGGGTTCACGCGTTGATACATGGCTTGATCTTCCGGAACGCATTGAGCGCACAGATGATAGACGCTGTGACTGCCAGGAAGGTTTCCGCTGAGCGGACGCCGAAGTGTGCATGTTTGGCCCGGGCAGGGAGAAGTCTCCGTGCGAAGATTCCTGCATATGCAATGTTTTGATGGTTTCTATGGGTCAGTGCAATGCGAGCGGCATTTGGGCATTCAGCATAGATGCAGAGAAATACAAGAAGGCAAAGATTAGGGTGCAATCGAGGTGTAGTTGATTTTGCGGGGAGAAAATGACTTGGAGGTGATGAAGCCAAGAATAAAAGTGGGGCCTGAGGCAGGTCCTCTTATTGTTCTGTCTAAGCTGCTACTATATGACCATATATGCTACGGAAAAGGTAGTTATGTGAAGCAATACTTATTGTGAAATTAGAAGTAATAATCAACAGGGTAAGAAAAGCAGAATCTCGGTTGCTGTTTTTTGAGCTCCTTATTAGCGAGGGAACGCGGGCATCTCAAACAAATCGTATTGGTGCGATTGCCATTTTTTTTTGTAGGATTCCGTGAACGACTGCGACGCAAGTACATAAAGCATGGGGAGTTGCTCACGCAGGGGGAGGAGGTGGGGGAGGCTGGTCGCTGGGAGGGGGAGGTGGCGGGGCGTCACCAGGAGGCGGCGGGGGTGGAGGGCTGCCAGCAGCTCCATAGTACATAGGAGGAATGCCAGGAGGAGGTGGGGGAGCGCCCATGCCAGGAGGAGCAGCACCGGGAGCTCCCATGCCAGGAGGAGCAGCAGGATAACCACCGTATCCACCGTATCCATAGGCAGGCTGGCCGCCAGGAGGAGCTGGCTGCTGCCAAGGATTGGCGGCGGCGGCGGGTGCGGTACCAGGAGCAGCATATCCGCCCTGAGATGGGTAGCCGTAGTCGCGGTTCTGTGCAGCCCAAGGGGCAGGGCCACCCTGGCTGCGACCTCCGTAGTCGTCGCGAGAGCCATAGTCGCCACGAGATTGGTAGTCGTCGCGGGAACGGTTGTCGCGGCCTCTCTGCTGCCAAGGAGCCACATCACTCTGGGGAGGTGGTCCACGCTGCTGCCAGGGCTTCGCATCGCGGTCGTCAGGGTAGCCGCCCTGTTCGGGACCGGCTTCAATGCGACGGGGTTGGTACTCGCCACCTGCGCCACCAGACAGTTCGTTCATGAGTTGCTAGATATAATGTTAGTACCAAGCGTGAGATAGCAGTCAGATATCGAAAAAGCTTACCTCCATCTCACGATCCACAGCATCGCCAGTGCCGACACGGGGAGCACCGCGTCTGTCCATACCACCGCCGTTGCGCCAGTCACTGCCTCTCTGGCGGTCAGGACAATCACGAGCCATATGGCCTGCATTGCCACAAACACGACAAATGATGTTGGCAGTGAAGTTACGCTGCTCAGGGCAGTCATACTTGCGGTGTCCGATTTGACCACCTGTTGAAAGTGAAGTTAGTATTCATTGCGTAAAGGGATATTCAAACAGATCCAACTTACAGTTCTGACAAGCCTGGTTCTCATCGTCACGGAGAGTACCGTTAAGGGCAGCGAGCTCACGGAGTTGGTTGCGCTTCAGTTCGTTCTGGCCTTCAGGGATGGAGGCAGCCTGGTAAAATCGTCAGTATCAAGTTTGAATCATAAAATCAAGGAGACTCACCGTTTCAATGACATTGTGCACAAGCTTCTTAGCCTTGTTGACCTTTTCTTCGGTATCGGCCATAATCAGACAGTGCAGATCTTCTTCCTGGTTGCTACCGTGAGCGGCATCAGATCGGCCCTTTCCTTCCTTGACGGAACCTTTGCCTCGAATGGCAATCTTGGCGCCGGATTCGGTTTCCATCTTCTTCAAGGTGTTTCCACGAGGTCCTATGAGTAAGCCAACTGTAAAAAAGTAGCAAAGAAAGCTGAGTGTTAGTTATCCGGTAATTTTTGAATGAATGTGCAGCATCAAGCACCAAGGTTTAGCAAGAAACGAGTTGAGGACATTCAAAGAGAGATGCCTTGTCAACTCGAGTCGAGCAGGGACTCATGACAGACACGATGGAAGGATGGTTAGGAGTTAGAGGGTTAGTTATCATACTGAAGTTAATCTCTGGATAGTCATTCACTGGGACGTAGACCTTCTCTTGGGTCTTGGTCGGGCGTCTGTAGTCAGAGGGCGGGTGATAGTTAGGGATGGTCTTCATGGCCTTCTCGACCAGTTTGTGACGCTCATCCTCAAGCCGCTTGCGGTAGCGGTATTCACGAGTGTTTACACGCCTACCGAAGTTGTCGTACTGGGGAGGCGGCGAAGGAGATCTGCGATAGAGATTAGAAAATGAAAGAATGCAGGAAGAAAGAACATACCTGTCACCATCAGCCGGGACCACATCGTTGATCCGAAGCTTCTGGCTGATCTCCTCAATACGAAGGTGGAGCGTGTAAGCTTCCAGCTGCTCGCTAGTGAAGTTTGCCATAATCATGGTGGGCAGGCCCATGAGGCCAGCAGCCTTGTTCTCTTGCTGATCACCCCAACGGTTGCGCTTCTTGCGTCTCTTGGAGCCATCGGCGGCCAGAGGAGGATCCGCTATGGAAGAAAACTGTGAGTATATGTGGTTTTCGAGGTTGAAAATGAGGTATACATACCTCGAACAGGGCTGCGACCGCGCTTCGGGCCATCAAACGAAGGGGTCGCAGTGCGCGAGTCCTCCTCTTCGTCATCAGCGCCCATACGCCGCTTCCCCAGCGGGATATTGTTGGAGCCAGTGATGCCTTGATTGCGCCAAGCCATGACTGTATTGGTAAGAGAATGTGAGATTAGTGATATGAAGATAGGATGCCAAAGGAGACTCTTCTTTTTGTCTTGTAAAAGTGGCCCCCACGTGATGGCAGATATTTGGCGGTGTCTGATTCATTCCATGTTCACCGCCGAGTACTCCGTTCCTATACTGCTGCAACATACCGCCTAGCTCACTTTCTGCCCTCGACATTGAGCCCAGGTCATAGAGCAACTTTCAAGGCAAACAAATCCCTGTTTGATGCAGATGCTAATGTTTTACCTGTTCAATCGAATACCCCGAAACTTTTGTTTTGAGTTATCGTTGAAAGTACGAAAAAAAAAGTCCCGCAATTAATTCGCATTACAGCTGTACATTTCCCTGCGGAATCATCTATGTCTGTAGAGTTGTTTTACAATCAAATTGCTACCTCGTATCACAAAATACATTGTCACCTTAGAACCTCGAAGAATGCAGTTGATTATTCAACAAGCTTCGGGATCTCGCGGGGTTTCCATGAGCTTATAAATCCGCGATGTGGGGAGCCCGTGAGCTGTACTTAAACCCCTCATGAGCTTCTTTTGATTCAACCTCACCAATTTGAATCACATTGATCAGTCACTATGAGTCAACCAAACATTACCCTTTACACGGCCCAGACCCCCAATGGGATCAAGATCTCCATGGCACTGGAGGAGCTTGGGTATAGTAGCTTCATCTCAGCCGCCTTGAAACTAGTACTGACTTGCCACAGTTTGCCATACAAGGTCGAGAAAATTGATATGTCCAAGAACACTCAAAAGGAAGAGTACGTAGTAGTATCCCACAAATATTAACGGGCTCCTAACAATCGCGCAGCTGGTTCCTCAAGATCAACCCCAACGGCCGCATTCCAGCCTTGACAGACACCTTCAGCGACGGCCAGCAGATCAATATTTTCGAGTCTGGCAGTATCCTACAATATCTGGCAGAACGATATGATCCAGACCATAAGATCTCCTACCCCAAGGGCTCACGGGAATACTACGAGGTGAACAACTGGCTGTTCTTCCAAAACGCAGGTCTGGGCCCAATGCAAGGCCAGGCCAACCACTTCTCGCGATATGCCCCCGAGCACATTGAGTACGGTGTAAACCGATACGTCAATGAATCACGCCGGCTGTATGGTGTGCTGGATAAGCACCTTGCTCAGTCCAAGTCTGGGTACATTGTCGGTGATCACATCTCCATTGCTGATATCACACACTGGGGATGGGTGGCTGCTGCGGGATGGGCTGGCATTGATATTGAGGAGTTCCCGCATGTGAAAGCGTGGGAGGAGCGGATTGTGCAGCGACCGGCCATAGAGAAGGGTCGTCATGTTCCTTCCCCTCACACAATTAAGGATTTGATCAAGGATAAAGCTACCATGGACAAGCACGCTGCTGATACTAGGGCTTGGGTTCAGCAGGGAATGAAGGACGATGCTAAGAGCAAAGTCTAGAGCACTTCATATTAGCATAATCAACTGAGAACATTGAAATATCCGAATCTACCCCGGGTACGATCACTTCGGAAACATTGCAGCGAGAATGGGTTCGATTCCTAGAAATCTCCCCGGTAGATCCCTGTGGGTGCCTTCTATTTTTTTTTTTCTCTCTCTGCTCTCTTTTTACACAAACGCCAGGTAAGAGCGAGGGTAGATCACGACGGGACAAAATATGTGATGATAAGAAAACGAAGAGCTCAATACAGAAAAGTAAGGGACAAATGAAGCGAGCACTCCATATGGATCAGATAGTAGCACAGTAAGTACAGACCCCAAAACCCCTTCAAACCGTGGTATAGCTGTGTGCAAGCGGTATACCTCTGTCAGGAATCATGTCCAGACTCAACTGATCAGGATACCAAATGAAAAAGATAACCATAACAGCCGCCATGGGCACACTGTCAAAGATATAAAGCGTCCACTCATGAAGAAGAGGATACCCATCATTACCCATGACATATTCAATAATACGAAAGACAGATCGAATCAAAATCAAAGCACTGACAGCATACAGCATATGCAAAGAACTTCGCCAAGGAACTCCAGGCTTGAGACACTCAGATGTCGGTGATCGACGAAGCCGTCTAGCAAAGACAATGGCCGTCACCCAGAAAAAAGAGAATGAGATCAATTGAATTGCCAAGCCGACAATCACAAGCACCTTGCCCCACTGGGGATATCCCAGTACAGACAACCCCGAGGAATTGCCTTGAACGACGAAGGATAGCACGTCTCCCCAGACGAATGTTTTAGTGAGACGAGATACGCGGATTACCGAAAGATGTTCGCCTTGGACTCGGCGGATGAGCCGACCAAGAGTCATGTAGATTGTTGCGGCGAAGAGGGTTGGTCCGAGGAGGATGAAGATGTTCGAGAGGATATATGGTCCCATAGTTGTTGTATTGTTGTGTGCAATGCAACGGCCTATGTAGCCAATGATTTCGACTATGATATGAATTCAAATCAGTGACTGTTTCTTGTCCTATAGGCAAATTCAGTAGGGAAGGAGGCCAGCTTACAGAGTCCTCCTAGGGTAAATGCTATGCAAAACCATGACCGCGTTCTGAAAAGCTTCCATGAGTGAATTCCGGTCAGGATCATGAATATAAGCATGAAAATGACCGCTGCGGGCATTGAGGGTACATAATTCCAGAATTTATAGGAACGGGACACGAGCTGGTTCATGTTGGAGAGTGTGTACCAGTGAGGAAGAAGCAGAGAATTGTGAGTTGATATAATCTCTAAGAAAATACTTGATTCCTTTATAAAACATACATCATTCCTTATCCAAAATAGAAGAACCTTTTTTATTCTCGAATGGATCGGCGTACAAATACGCGTATAGAGACGACCCATATCTAAACTGACATTTGACCAGTAATAAGGCTTTAAACAATGAGCTAGTCCAAAAGGAACAAGATCCAGTTCTATACGCGCATTACTGTTAGAAACGAGGTTGTAAACCCTATACTCTATATCCTATGATTTGGAAAACTCTGATAGGTCACATCTCATACGAAGCTATCCTCGGCTTCAAACATCGGGGGTACCAGTGCCTTCGGAGGCCATCCAGCCTGACAATCAAACGTCTTGGTGAAAGAATATTTCCCCGATCCAATCCATTTGACATCTTCTTTTTCTCCAGCCCCAGTCGGCAGAATAATCTTCGCTTTCGAGTTTGGTGGCACAATCACCTCAAGGCGGAACTCGCCACCCTGACCAACCTCCCACCGACACTCCAACCGCCCATAAGAAGTCTCATAAATAGCCTCTGCAGAAGTAACCGTACCGCCGGGCACGGGCTGAATGAGAATATGCCGCCAACCAGGCTCCAACGGACTAACACCGGCAACAGTCTTATGAAGCCAGTTGATGATCGAACCCAGAGCATAATGGTTAAAGCTCGTCATTTCTCCAGGGTTGATCGATCCATCTGGAAGCATGCTATCCCAACGTTCCCAGATAGTCGTAGCTCCCATGGTAATTGGATACATCCACGAGGGACAGCTCTTCTCTTGAAGCATGCGGTACGCTAATTGAGGATATCCGGATTTGGTCAGTGCGTGTGTGATCACCGGTGTCCCTGCGAACCCAGTTGATACTTGAAATTTCGACTTCCCAACCAACCGAGCTAGACGAGCTCCAGCGGCTGCTGCTTGCTTTGGATTATTAAGTAAATCGAATACCAATGCTAGACTAAGGGCTGTTTGTGTGTCGCCGACTAACCAGCCCTCGGGAGTAACATATTTTGTTTGGAAGCGTAATTTCAGGCTTTGATGTTCAGTTTCATAACGACTTGCGTTGACTGCTTCGCCAATGATCGAACTTATTTCTGCTAATACCTTTGTGACATGCACAAGGTAGGCGTCAGCCACGAGTGTCCCGTCTGTTCGCGCGTTGCCTGGTTGATCCGGTGGCGCGGTAGGATCTAGCCAATCTCCGAGCTGGAATAGAGTATCATCCCATAGACGGTCAGGTCCGCGCTGAACTCCTCGATCTAGCCAGCCGACCATGCTAGGATACTGCTTCCGAAGAATTTCAACGTCACCATAGTTCTGGTATAAGGTCCAAGGAAGTAGAACAGTCACGTCATCCCAGATTGCTTGAGGAAAACAAGGCCATGCTTCTTCGGGGATAACATTGGGAATGACGAATGGAGGAATTGCTTTCGGATTTTTGAGTTGTTCAGCCGATAGATCCTTCAGCCAATCACCAAGCATGCCCGATGTGTTATACAGGAAGCTGGCGGAAGGGCCGAAAACTTGGATGTCTCCAGTCCAACCTAGACGCTCGTCTCTTTGTGGACAATCAGTGGGAATGGAGAGAAAGTTTCCGCGCATAGACCAAGTGGCATTCTGATGAAGCTTGTTGATCATAGGATGAGAGCAGTTGAACCAGCCAGTCCGAGCGAGATCCGTATGCATAACCTCAGCGACAATGATATTCAGATCTGGATTCCATCCCTCGACTTGGACAAAGCGGAATCCATGGAATGAGAACCGAGGGGCCCAATCGATTTCATCGCCTGCTGAGATGATCTTGTCACTGCACTTGGCTACACGAAGAGGACGAGTTCCTAGCTCTTCATTCTCGAGGACTTCCGCATGAGTTAAAATGACATTTTCACCGCGGGCAACTGCAAGTCTTGGAATCCGGATACGTCCAACCAAGTTCTGCCCAAAGTCGACGATCGTCTTGCCAGATGGTGTTGTAATTATCTGAATTGGCTTGACAACCTCAGTGACTCTCACAGGAGGAGCATTCGGAGCCACGAGCTCCGCACTCGGGAAGTCCACCTCTCGAGTCGCCTTCCAAGTCGCTTCCAATGCGGAGGAGTGACTACTCCAGCCATCTTGCTCATCGAGCGCATTGTAAACCTCACCATCGTAGATCTCACTGCTGACAATTGCAGAGTGGTAACTCTTCCAAGTCGAATCAGATGGAACGGTAAATTGATCACCATCCTCAGACTTCATTTCCAACTGCGCAATTAGGGCCATTTCATCCCCATAAATGAAACGACGTCCACCATGGAAGCCCAATCGAGTAGCATACCAGCCTTCGGCAACCTCAACGGCAATGGTGTTTGGCTCATTCTCATGCAAAAGCGATGAAACATCGAGAACCTCGTAGTTGAGTCGATGAAGATAGCTCGTCCAACCAGGGGCCATGCAGTGATCGCCAACAGGTACGCCATTGATGTATGCCTGAAACACCCCCAGGCTGGTAATATAAAGACGAGCTTGCTGCACCTTTGCGAAAGGGAGAGTGAAGGTTTTTCGGAAGCGGATAGGTCGCAATGGACCTTCAGATTGTTTTACGCTGCTGGTGATAGCGCGTGCATTCCAATTCTTCCGATGGAGCAAGCCGCATTCAACGGTACTCCAGTCTGACCACTCGGTGGGAGTAGAGTCCGGTCCACCATATGCACGAACCCGAGCGCGGGCGATGTCTCGAGACTTGAGTGGCTGGCTTGGCCAGGGTACAAGGACGGAGTTGCTGCTTTTGACATGATGTGTTTCTGGTGTTGAGGAGGAATGGTGTGAGAGTTCAATATCGTATGCTGTCTGTTCCCAGTTCTGGCATGTTTGTTCATTTGTTGTGAATCGCCACGAAAGGCGAGGCTGAGATTCTCCGATCCCGAAGCCGGTTGGATGTTGTTCAAATGATAGCGATGTTATAGAGGGTTGTGACGACATTCTAAGAGTCTCGGGTTTGAAGTGTCGGAACGAAGTGATGGGTTGTGGTTGTGAACCAAGTCGTACTACATAAGTCACAAATGAGGGGTGGACCGCTCGGGTTGAATACACCCGAAGTCAACAACTCCTCGTGATATCAACTACTTCATGGCTTTGAGCCAAGATATCTTGGAGATGTTTAGAGTGTCCGAAGTTGAGCCGGAGGCATCCGGCTCAACTTCGGATAACCGCGTGTTCATCTCTCCCCACTCCCCGCCCATCCCTGCTATGCTGTCATTTCTCACGAGCTCCTGTATAGTTGGATCCGCCATTAACAAATGACGGACGCCATGCTTCCCCGCAGGTTGAAACAACCGACGGACTCCTGCCGACAGGGCTGAGGGGCGGGTCAATCTTTATTAGGCCCTGACCTGTTCTGGTCTGCTCGGTCATTCTTCTCTTCATTCACCTCATAATCGAAGTCATGGGTTCTCACGCTGCGATGCCTGACATAGGCGCTATTTTAAGCCAGTTAACGTTGAAAGAGAAGGTTTCTCTTTTAGCTGGAAAGAATTTCTGGGAGACAGTGGACATTCCGGAGAAAGGCGTCCCCTCAGTGAAGGTACAGTACACAATCCTCACCCTCAAATATTGCACTGATTGATACCTTCTAGGTCTCCGATGGTCCCAATGGCGCCCGAGGTGCGACCTTCAAGAACGGCGCAACAGCCGCGTGTTTCCCGGCATCTTGTCTCTTGGCCGCAACATGGGACGTGGAAGCTGCTAGGAACATTGGAAATGCTCTTGCAGAAGAGACGCAATCCAAGGGAGCTCGTGCACTGTGAGAATCCCGAATTGGAATCAAATAGCCCCATGCTAATGAACCGTTCAGCCTGGCTCCAACAGTCTGCCCTCATCGCCACCCGCTCGGTGGTCGCAATTTCGAGTCCTTTTCCGAGGACCCGTTGCTTGCCGGTAAAATGGCCGCGCAGTACATCAGCGGCCTACAGGAGAAGGGTGTAGCCGCGACGATCAAGCACTTTGCTGCGAACGAACAGGAAACCTGTCGTTTCACAGTCGATGCTCATATCGCCGAAAGAGCTCTTCGCGAAATCTATCTGAAGCCATTCGAGATTGCCATTAAAGAAGCCAATCCGATGGCTGTCATGACTTCGTACAACATTCTCAATGGTCACCATGCCGATTCAAGCGATTTCCTTCTCAAAGATGTTTTGCGCGGTCAATGGGGATGGAATGGCCTTGTTATGAGTGATTGGGGCGGCACGAACTCGACTGCCGAATCTATAGAGGCTGGCCTTGACCTTGAAATGCCCGGCCCTACCAAGTGGCGAACAGCCGAGGCTGTTCTTGAGGAAATCAAGGCCGGTAGAGTCTCAGAGAAGACCATTGACGATCGTGCTCGTAACGTTTTAGAGTTTGTGGCTAAACTTCGCTGTTTCGAGGATCCGACTCTCCCCGAAGAAAAGGCCATTAACAAGCCAGAACACCAGAAACTTATCCGCTCAGTCGGCGGTCAAGGCCTGGTTCTTCTCAAGAATGATAATGGGATCCTTCCTCTGAACAAGGAGCATCTTGCCAACAAAAAGGTTGCTCTGTTGGGCTTCGCCAAAGATGGGTTGATTCACGGTGGTGGCAGTGCATCAGTGAATGCTCACTACCGGATTACGCCTGAGGAGGGTCTCCGTGCTGCACTTGGTGACGCCGTTGAGTTCGAATATGCCCAGGGTGCCCACACATTCCGTCAATTGCCATTGATGGACAAGATGGTTGTAGACCGTGATGGTCATCCCGGATGGACCTTGGACTTTTTCCTAAGCGAGGAGCCTACAGGAGAGCCCTCTTCTTCGAAGCACTCTGATGTGCCAACATACATGCCAATCTTTGTCAAGGAGGCTTGGGGTAGTGTCAAAGCCACTGGCCGCTTCACCCCAAAGCAGAGCGGTCGCCACTACCTTGGCATGTCAGGATTAGGACGCTCCAAAATTGCCATTGATGGCAAGACAGTGTATGAGCAGAAAGGAAACTGCCCCGACTCAATGGCATTCCTGCTGGGAGGTGTCAAAGAGCCCGAGGTCCAGTGGGACTTTGAAGCTGGAAAGTCCTACACGATCGAGGTCGTCACTCTAAAACCTTCCAAAAGTGGCGGTATCGCCCTCCTGGATGGATATCTCGGTTTCCGATTCGGCTTTATGACGGAGGAAGAACACAACAAGGATCTCCTCTCCGAAGCGGTGGAAGTCGCGAAGCGCTCCGACCTTGCCATTGTCTTCACCGGCCATACGCCAGACTGGGAGACAGAAGGCCAAGACCAAATCAGCTTTAACCTCCCTAGTAACGGATCTCAAGACCGTCTCGTGACTTCCGTGAGTGCTGCAAACTCCAACACAATCGTGGTCAACTGCACCGGCGTGGCGGTTGGCATGCCGTGGCTTGAAAATGTCAAGGCTGTCGTGCAAGCCTGGTTCCCCGGCCAAGAAGCTGGCAACGCAATTGCAGACGTCCTCACCGGGGCAGTCAATCCTTCAGGTCGCCTACCTGTTTCTTTCCCTCGCAGGCTTGAAGATGCTCCTGCTCATGGTAACTTCCCCGGTGAATACATCGATGGACAGCTCCATGTCACATACGAAGAGGGTGTCTTCGTAGGCTACAGACACTACGACCGATCCGAGGAACACCGCTCCCAGGTCCTCTTCCCATTCGGCCATGGTCTCTCTTACACCACGTTCACCCATAGCAACCCGAGAGTAACGGCCTCTGACGATGCCGAGGAGTTCAAAATTACGATTGATGTAACCAACACTGGTTCGCGGGCCGGCGCCGACGTTGTTCAGGTCTATACAGGAGCCAAGGTGACGTCCAGTGAGGATCCGGTTAAAGAGCTGGTTGGGTTTGCTAAGGTTCACCTTGCTCCCCGGGAGAGCAAAACTGCTATGATCAGATTTAGTGCCCGGCAGTTGGCTCATTTCAGTGAAAGTACCAAAAGGTGGGAGTTGAAGCAGGGTGAGTACGAGGTCACTATTGGACGGTCTGTGCATGATGCTATTGTGAAAGTTACTGTATCTGCTGCGGTCCGGTCTTATGAGCTGTGATTGTTTGGCAAATAAAGAGAATGCTTGTCTTTGATTATATGAAATATGACACTGAACATTGGGCTTCAAGTAAACTAAAGAAACGTAGCAACTGAAGCATTGCATTATTTCTAGAGTAGAACATACTTCGAATGGTTTTCTCGGTGTATTTTTTTCGAGAGCCCAACATAGACCGAGTCGACATCAAAGAACTCATACTTGACTGCGCAAATGAAAGGCACCACACTCCTTTCCGAGAGATCCGCATTGCAAGCCGTGCCCATCCATAACCCCAGTGGTACACATTTCCCTCCCAGCGGCAAAACCTCGGGAGAGAAAAGGCAAAAATCAGCTGAATCCGGGGTACGTCTGGGGTTTCCCCACATCTTCACCTGATTTCTTTTTGACCCGTCTTCACTCGGCATTTATTCCCAGAATCATGGATCAGACCATTCTCCCACTTGCCTTTAGAGAGACTGATGCAAATACGAGGATCCAAATTCAGATGGGTTAGCCGCGTGGCTGAAAATCTCCATTCTTGCTTTTTCGGCTTTGTATACTCGCATCTCGGGGTAGTTATATCCTTGCCAATGCAGAAAAAGAATAAATGCACTCCCGTGGCCTTGCTTTTTGACCATCGGGGATCATACCGTCTCGACTCCCATTCTCTGGAGTTCATTCTTCTATACACTACACCCTCACCTATATCATTACCCATTACCCCTTGATTCCAGGCATACTACCAACAATGGAAAAGCCCAGCACCGACCTAGTCGAGCACGCCGATGACCAGCACCTCGGCCACCTAGCCAATCAAGAAGATCACGAGCTAGGAAAATGGCAAAGCCTGAAGAAATACCCATGGACCTTCGCATGGTGCGTCTACGCCGTATGGTGCATCCTCCTCGTCAGTTTCGAGAACCAAGCATCAGGAAACGTAACCGGTATTCCTGAGTTCCGTAAAGACTTCGGGCATTTCTATGACGGCGCCTGGGTTCTCGAGGCGAAGTGGCAGTCTGCATTCAGTGGCGGGCCAGTGGCGTCGGCCGTTGTTGGGGCGCTGTGCTCTGGTCAGATTGCGGATGCTATTGGGCGCAAACTGACGATTGGAGTGTCGCTTTTAATTACTGTTGCTGCTGTTACCTTGGAGTTTGTTGCGACTACCAATGAGATGTTCTTTGGGGGAAGTTTCTTAATGGGTTTGCTTTGGGAGCTTTGGCTTCTGTTCCTATTACTTATGTTGGAGAGGTATTTTTCTTCCAAGATTCTTTCTTTTCCTATGACATGTCTTTTCTTCTTATACTAACCATTTCTATAGATCTCCCCCCTCGCCCTCCGCGGCACCCTCACCTGTCTCACAGCTCTGGCATACTGTATTGGCCCTTTCGTCGTCGCCCTGATAACAAACACGACTGGAACTTATACAAACCGCTGGGCTTACCGTGCCGTGTTTGTAGCTCAGTACGGCTACGCCGCACTAGCACTCGCCTTGATAGCATTCATGCCCGAGTCACCTTGGTGGCTGGTGTCCAAGAACCGCGACGACCAAGCCCTCAACAGTCTCCGCAAGCTGGGCTACAGCGAAGAAGAGCGCGCCAAAAAGATCGCCAATATCAGGGTGACTCTTGAAGATATCAAGCGCGAGACTGAGGGCGTTACGTATCTGGAATGTTTCCGTCGCTCCAATCTGCGGCGTACGATCATCTCCATCGTCCCGCTAAGTATCCAGGCTTTGTCTGGTGTTGTCTTTGCGGCTGGTTACTCGACATACTATATTCAGCTGGCTGGATATAGCACAGAGATGAGCTTCAGACTTCAGATTGCGCAGCAGGTGTGCTCACTTGTTGGCAATGTCATGTCTTATTTCCTGATTGACAGGGTTGGCCGTCGCAATGTGATGCTTTACGGCTTGGGCATATTAACCGTCATCCTGATGTTGACCGGTGGACTGGCGGTAGTTGGAGCGGATACCTCAAACCCCAACTCCGGGGGTGCGATCAAGGGTACGGTAGCGTTGATCCTGATCTACTGCTGGTGGTACAATATGACCATTGGATCAGCGGCATATACCATCTTGGCTGAAGTGTCGACGTCCAGACTGCGAATTAAGACTATTGCTATTGGGTTGGCATTGCAGAATGCGCTTTACACTATGTGGTCATTTGTTTTGCCCTATCTTTTCAATCCTGATCAGGCGAACCTTGGTGCAAAGGTTTCTTTTATCTTTGGTGGTCTATCGGTGATTTGTCTGGTTTATTTGTGGTTTTATCAGCCCGAGACTGGCGGCAGGACTTATGCTGAGCTTGATGAGATGTTTGTTAAGGAGGTTCCTGCGAGGAAGTTTAAGGCTTATCAGACTGATGCTGAGGCTATGGGCGTTGCTGTCAAAGAGGGTGATGTCAGTGTTTAGGGGCGGGGATTTCTACCTAATTTTGGACGAGACTTGTGATGTCTTTATGAGTTGGTTAAGTTTATGTTAGCATATTCTATAATTTTACCTGGATGGTTATTCTGCTGGCACATGAATTAATATAAAGGTACTCTACCGGACTATTACTATAAACAGAAACAGAAACAGAAACAGAAACTTTTGAACCAACATTCATCATATCTTATATTTAGCAGGAAGATATGTACAGCCCCCTATGTGCGACCAAGACACTGCCCGAAAAGCAGTATAGATCGCCGCCAGAAGAGAAGAGGAACCCCAAAAGTATACAGTGAAAGCCGGCTGCAAAGCAGGAACTAAACAAAAGAAACAGAGTAGATATACCCAAGCAAAAGCCCCAGTATATAGACCAAACGGATGCAACCCGTTAAAAAGCACAAAACAAAACAGAAAAAAAAAAAAACGACCTCTCAGAACACGCTCATACACACACAAAATAAAAAGAACGAGACATGGGGTCTCACGTGTATCTACCAAGAGAAACTTTCTTCCACATAATCAAGATTGGAATGAGCCTGTCTCCTCCGACAAACTTTGCGAACATCATCACTCAACCCACCATTACCACAAACAAGCACACCCATAGCGCCAATCTGATTCTCAACCTCCATCCCAATCAAAGTATCGATATTAGGACGGCCAGGGAACATCTGCACAGTAGCAGAGGGGCTCTGGATCTCCTTCGTATTCCGAGGTCTGGTAACAAACAGCATAATACGCAGGACTTCACGGCGGCGATCCATAGCCAGTATCTTGGTCATCCAGGGCCGAATCCACTCCAGGTGCTCAGGTGACTGGATGATCCAGACGAGAGTGACGCGGCGTGCGGCGACGGTCCCATCTGCGAAACCGGCTACGAGGTGGCGGACGAAGGGAACGTGGTGTGTTATGCCGACGCCGCCGGCGAAGAGCATTACTGTGCCGTAGGAGTCCATTGTGTGGATGTTACCGTATGGGCCTTCGGCGAAGGCACGGACAGTCAGCGGTGTGCCCATTGAGTTTGCGGCGCGCTGGAAGAGCTTGTCGGTCATTCCTGTGCGGCGGCGAACGAGCAGGGAGATTGTTTCTTTTTGGGGCGCGCTGAGGAGGTCTGATTTGGTCAGGGGGAGGGACTTCTCGTCCGACATGTTGTCCTCTGTGTCGCTCCAGCCGACGGAGAAGGGGTGCGAGGTCCACCATCCCACCGACGGGATGTAGAGGTAGATGTGCTGGCCGGGGCGGAAGGTCCAGGGGCGGGCTACGCGCAGGGTGATGCGCATTGCATCGCCGGGCATGGCTTCGATGGTTGCGGTTGTTGATTCGCGACCGCAGTTGCGGTAGAGGATGATCAGGAGGCGGGTGGCACGCTCCAGGGCCCAGAGGATGATGGCTGCGAGCAGGTAGGTTTGCGCCGCTAAACCGTCTAGGTGAACCCAGAGGAAGCCGATGGAGACGGCTGCAATGGCGAAGTGGAGGTGCAGGAATGTCTCGTAGAAGGCATGGCGGATGGGCGAGGGCGAGTGCACCAAGAGCGCGGCGAAGGCTGCGGCAGCCACCAGGCCGGTGAACAGGAAGCTGCTTCCTCCCAAGGCCATGGCGACGACCTTCCAACCCTTCTCCTGGCCCTTGGGGATTGCCCAGGCAAATACGTGGGCGAGAGCCTCCAAGACTACAATGCGGCCCAGCCATCTGTGGAGCAAGTTCCATGTGTCGAAGGGCACGTGGAGCATGGCGATCAGGGGGTTGTTACGGCCTGCCATGATAATCAGAGGGATCATGTTGACAGTGGCCATAGTACCGGTACGGTTACGCACGACACCGGCAACGGTGTCCTCTTTGGAGCCATAGGGGGTGGTAACGCAGCAAAGTGCCACGTTCATGGCGACGATACCGGTGACAAGGAATGCATGGAAACGACTGGGCAAGGTACCCATGTTGATAGCTGAGGAAAGCTGCATTTCCTGGTTATGACGGGTGCGGAACAGTGCTGCGTAGACGATGTGCTCCTTAACCCAGGAGAAGGTATCATGAGCAGAGACAAAGTACCGTTGTCTATCATCGCTGAAGCTGGACAGACGGCGCAGATGGGCCGAGAAGCGGAAAGAAAGATGCCAGATGTAGTATGCGGCAGCGGCACAACCGAGCGCGAGGATTGTATAGCGGGCCAAGTCATCATTGACGGCCTCATAGTACATTTCCGAAGAGCTCTTGCTGTAACGCTTTTCGATGTCCATTGCGCTGCTCAGTCCAGCGAGGGATATGGCGAGAAGAATGAACTGCATGATGCCCCACTAAGATGCTGCAGGTCCAAAAGTCAGGGGTGGCCTGAGTGGTTGTTCAGCGAGACCAGCTCGCTATCAAAATGGAAAGAAAAGGGGTTGTTATATCAGGACCAAAGCCAACGTAGGCTTTGCTCGGTAGATATTGTCGAGAAGTAACACAGCAGTCGAAACAATCCCAGTTGTTTGGCAATGTAAATAAGAATGGCAAGGGTGAAGAATCCTGGTCTCGATATGCGTTTGGTGGCTTGGTGTCGAGTGCAGGGCCTGCCTATATCTAACGTATAGAAAACAGAGAAAACAGCATAGAAATGGCGATTGTCGATAATTTCTCGATCCAATTGTGCTCAGAGAATATCGGACGAAAGGACTGAGCAGGGAAGATGTCTTAAAAAGGCTGTTGTCGGCTGGCAACGAAAGGAATGCTGGTGAGCCAGTCACTGCAAAGGGCTAAAGATGGAACTTCGTCATACAATGACGATTGTCTCAGAAAGAAAGGCAAAGTGAAGAATGAAACAATGTCAATTGTAAAAATAAAGCACAAAGAAGAAAAGAAGAAAGGAAGAAAGGAAGAGAGTAACAAGAGAAACTGTCTCTTCCCTAAAGAGTGGAGAGTATGAGACAAGCGTCAAAGGCCGGATTAATATGTAGAGTCCAAGCAAGGCTGGGCTATGGCCCGTGTGCCATGCTATGTAATGCAGTATCACTTTTGCATTTTGATTAATTCCGAGGGGTTTGTGCCAGGGTTGACGGGTGTCAAGGGATGTTCATAGCGACCCCTCGACTCCATGGGTCAATCAGACAGCTAAATTTCAGATCATCTTCCGCAAGATTTGGCAGAAGATGGACATGCGACATGCGACAGGTCAAGGTCAGCTTCTGTCGAGTGGCGGGGGTGGCCATATGGACGGTGACTGGCCAGCGATGAAACAGGCCAGTGAGCAGAGTTTGAAGAGAAATCAACAGGCGCCAAACAGTCGGTCCGCGACAAGCCTTGGCCAGCGACTGGCCGTTTGAAATTAGAGCCCTTGCCTGGTCGAGGGCCAATCTGCTGCTGGTGTTGGGCTTAGGTGGGGACTCAGGAGGTGTGGATGTGTAGAGTGAATACTGTCTGCTCGCCACAGCACATCCCTCTTAGCGCCCACATCATCCGAAAGTCCTGGTAACTCGCGGAGATCTCACCCGAATTGAGGTTCGTGAAACACGCCGGTCATAAGCTCCGCTCTGGTCAAGCCACACTGTAATTGTGAGATCCCCGGTTATCGCAGGGGAAGAAGTCTTGGCGCCCCGGCGGACTTCATCTATATCAGACCTTCATCTCCCACAATGGGGAATCTCCTTCCGAGGACTCCGCTTTGGTCAACAAACGACCTCCGGGTTACTTGTCCAGCTCTGTCAAAGTGGCTTTGCGCCCGAAACATTGGAAATAATCATTTGATATTCCATAGGTCAACTGCATCCTGCTGGCCTATATCTACACAGGTCATCCTCCCGCGTTGGCGCCGGCCTTCTGCCATTTTGTTACATGATGTCTTATCTGAGTCCCAGATAAAGTGATGTTTGCTTTAGGTTGAATGTCCGAGGACTCAGGCTGCCAAATTGTTGGCACCATGGTCTAGATCCTGAGCCAGGTCATAGTTTAGACATACACTGCCGGTGAAAATCTCCAGGGCAAAAAAAAAAAAAAAAAAAAACTCCAATTCAGGCCAAGGGTATCAAAAGAATAAAGGGCCAAAACACCGGTTTGCCAAAAAAACAAGAACAAGAAGATCATATCCACCGTTCCCTTCAAATGAAATGAACCAAGATCGCCTTCATATTCGGACAATCTCGGCCATGTGGACATCCAAACGCTCACAATTTTTAACAAGAGGCCCATCCACAAAGTAAATAATGATAGACGCCACAACCATGGGACAGCGACGAGCTTGGGTGTTCCTGACCTCTCTTCCCGTTGAGGTAGTCTATAACGGGTCCAACTAGAACGATTTCAGAAAGCCCAGGCGGCCCCGCTCACAGGAAACTGAGCTCATCGTCACTGTCCTCGTCCTGGGAGCAGGGGATAACCGGTTGGGAGGTCGGTCGCCGAACACTTCTAGACAGGGGTGGAATGGGAGAGCGCGCAGGCCTTCGTCTCTCCACTGTGCGATGGATTTGCTTCTCACCCCGCTCCAATGCGGGTCGAGGTGCATCCTGCCGTGTGCGAGTTTCTCGGTTATTGATGATCACAACTTCGACCTTGTTGCCTTGCTTTGCAGGGGGCATTCGCATATTGACATTGCGCCTTTCTCGTAGGGCCATACGGCGAGAGACTGGTTCCACTGTAAAGTTGTATCTATTAGGCGAAGGCGACCATCTTTGTTCGCTACTCTCCTCATTATCGAACACGATAAATGGAGCAGGTCGTTGTCGTTTTCTGGGCGGAAGCTGCACGGAATCCGTGTCTTCGAATGTTCGCTTGGGGGCCATCGGAAGAGGGGCGGCCACCGATGAAGGAGATGAGGTCACACTCGAGATATAGTCTGCAAAGCTATCAGTGCTAGATGAGCTGCTGTCCTCAGAGCAAGGAATACAGTGTACTGGGCTTGATAGCATCCGCATAAACGGCCTTGAGGACTTTTGCACTAGAATGGGCTTTGCCTTGGTTACTGGCGTACATGCCACCCACTCGTCTATGCTCTCTTCCCAACGGAACAAGCTCCTGTTCTGTGTAGACTCCTCAAATTCGGAGTTTTCTTCAGAGCCTTCCTCAGATTCCTTTTGGCTTTGGATTGTGACAACCGTCTCTTGAGCCCCGATTGCCCAAACATGGTCTTCGGGATCATCCGTGGCCTCTGCAAATACCATGGCCGATTCTGCAGCAACTTGTCCAAGGAAGGAAGACAGGCCTGGCCTATCCGCCAAGCGGGAAAGTTGGTAAATCATGCAACGTATATCTTCGCTCACACGGTCATGCTCGGTTTCTGTGCCGGTCTTGAAGCAACGAAATGCCTGCTTCACAAAAAATGCCATCTCTTTAATCATGTCTGTGCGAGACACAATGGTCCGCGCACATTCATCAATACTGGTTGTTGACGGTATCATGTAAGGGGTATCATCAGACAGAATTGTGTCATTGCACTGTACAATGCTGGTTCCTAGTAAGATACAGCCGCGCCGTAATAATTGATGGGGTGTAAGATCCGGCCGCTGAGAGAGAGGCTTTAAGTCCATGTCTCGTTGTAGAGCAAGTGTGATGTAGCGGATAATATGGCCTGGCTTTGTTCCATTCGAGCGTTCAGTGTCATCGCTGGCACGAGACCGCGAGATATGCATACCACACATCGCCGCCATGAGGCTTATGACATGATTGCTCAGCGCTTCCTCGACTTGCAAGGGGCAGGTTTGCGCAAGATGCGGGTTTTGCCATGCTCTTATGGAAGAAGCCCTGGTATCACGGGAACGGGCACTCTTGGTTTTGCGTCTCGTTGGGAACCTTTGAGAAGACTGAGCAGCAGTAACGGAACGCACATCGCTCGCTGAGAGAATGACAGCTTCTATCAGCCTTGAGGCCGCATCACAGTCATCATCTTGCTTCGAAAACGATATCGTCGCTCGTGTCACCCAGACGGTCCATGGCTTGGTCGCCATCCATTCAGGAGGCAACACACCCCGTGAAAGAAGCTTTGCAAGTTCATCGAAAATGAAAGACCGAGGGGCAACCCCATGGTGCGCATATTTGCGCAATAATCGAACCGGGTCACCAGAAGAACTAGGTTGATCTGGAGACTTCAAGGCATTTGGGTATGGATAGGTGGTGCGTGTGGAAAGAATTGTAGAAAGTAGAGATTGACAAGCATCAGGAGCGCAAGAGTGGCACTTCTCAATCAATGCACAGGCAATTGCATCTGTCACCCAATGATTCTGTATCATCGAAGCAACTAAATAGATACCCTGCGCGCGAACGGCCTCACGGAGCGGCTTCCACCCGGAACCATGAGGCGCATAAAATGTTTCTAATTCTGTAAAGTATGCATCGCACATATCTTCATCTCCATCTTCGTCCAGCTCGTCTTGTGCTTTCTGTTCGATAGCGATGAACTCGGGCAGACGTCGCACCAGCATGGACATCAAAGATCGGGCTCCGCGATTGACCTTTTCTGCCACGGGATTCGCTTCGCGCTTGGATATTTGAGTATTGAACAGGAAGTTTTGGAAAACACGGTCGAGATTGTGGGCTATGTCGGCGAAGGTCGGATCGCCAGATTCGTCAAGCAATTCCTGCCAAGGGCTCTTGTACAGCGAGTATCGGTCACGAAATGCTTGCTGCTGTGCAGGATGGGGTATAGGCTTCGATCGGTCAACGGAGCCTTGCGACTGTGCGCTCGAGGGCATCTCCCATCGCCTTCCAGTGATTAGTGGTGTCGCGAGCTCGATGGCGCCGGGCAGGGTGCGCGGCGCTTCTGGGCTTTGAAGCGATAGTCTGTTGCACCTCTTTCCACCATTTCCCTCGCCTCTGGATGAGTATTTGTGTCTCGCGCGGCGCCGTTCCGGCTTTTTCCCTGGAACCCAGACTGGATCATTGTCGTCTGCCTCGGAAGTTGAAAAAATGTCCCCGCGATCTGTTTTCTGCCCTGTGTCCACTGCCGGCTTTTCCTGTGCTGCCTCTTGTTGCCTCGACTCGGTTGCGATCATGGATAGCGTTTTTTGGTGCTTTTCGATTCGACGGCAGATGGAGGTCAGAGGGCGCAGTACACGGTTTGCCCATCTTGCTGTAGATTGGAGGTCTTCCATGGGGAAGAAAGGATAATGATATCTGCCAAAAGCATACAACTGTAGAAGAATCAGCATTGTCCCCAAGGTTGTGGTCTGTCGGGTCGCATTGCACTAACCACACCGTACGAAATAGCCCCTTAGTTATACATGGTAAGAGGGAGAAGTAGCAATAGACACTCAGCAAGTATTTCTTGCTTCCAAGAAATATTCCAATGAGGTAAGGTATGAAGAGATACAGTGCGCGTTAAGTGGATGCATGACAACATTGAAAGACACGGACAAAGTAAACAAACATTGCCCAAAGCGGTAAGGCGGATCGGTACACATTTTGCCTACTGCGCAAATATGCGTCCTGATCTAGAAAGCCTTGTCTTGAATTATATTATATAGAGCCATGTATGAACTTATTGGATTCTACCCAGAAAGAGAATTGAGCCAGGTCGTAAAAACCCCATGCAAAATACAAATACATACCACCGTATAATGCACCAGATGAGGCGACATAAAACAACCGAATCCTTTTTCATGCACTGCCCGAGAGACAACCCAACTTGGCAGATCAAGACATCAAAAAAAGAGAGGAGAGAGATCTAAATAAAATACAACAAGTCTTTTTCGCTCATCAAGCCTGCCCACAGTTCCCCAAAATGACAATGGATATAGAGATAGTAACTTATTTGACTGTTAACACATGTAATGACCAAGAAATTAAAGGCGGGAACCAAATGACGCAGTCCGGTTAGTCTAGGAGACAATTTTAAGCCTTAGGGGTCTGCTTGGAGCCGCGGAGCTTGGGGTTGCTGGTGGCAGCACGCTTCTTCTGCTTTGAGCGCGAAGAGCTGCCGGCATCACCACCCTCGATGAACTTCAAAAGCTCATCGATGTTCCGCGAGTCAAGACCGGAGGCAGAAGGCTGGGCAGCACCAGTGACGTCGGGCGCGACCTGGCCGACCTGGGGCTGAACGCGGGTGCCCATGGTGGACACACGGGGGTTCATGTTGATGCGGCGCAGACGACGAGCCTGGATGTCCTTGGCGTGCTTGGCGATAGAGACAGCGTTCTGAGTGAGCTGCTCGAGCCACGTCTCAGCCTCCTTGGTGTTGCGGTCTTCGGGACCAAGCTGGGCAAGGAAGATGTTGTAGGCCTCACGCATCTTACCTACAGCGGCCTTGGAGTCCTGGTCCAGAGCAAGGGCCTGGGCCAGCTGGAAGAGGATGGTGGCAGTGTTGATGGAGTCCTTGCCGAACAGATCTTCGCAGACGGAGAGGGAAGCCTCGAACCACTTGCGGGAGTCATTGTACTGCTTAAGGTGTTGCAGCATAACGGCGGCGTTGTTCATCGTTGTGATGGAGTCGGGGTGGTTAGCACCGTAGATGATCTTCCAGATATCCATGGCGTGCTTGATGTACACCAGAGCGGTCTTGGTGTTGCCAGAGGCATGTTCAAACAGACTCAAGTTGAGGTAGCTCAAGATGGTGTCAGCAGAGTCCACACCCATGGTGCGCTCAGTGACGATGACGGCCTTGCGAGCAAGCTCAACGGCAGCCTCCTTCTCGTCGGTCTGGTAGTACAGCATGGAAAGCTGGTGGTAGAGCTTGGCAACCTCGGGGTGCAGGATACCGTAGATCTGCTCGTGCAGAGACAGAGACTCCAGAATGAGCTCCTGGCCCAACTGCTTCTGGTTCTGCATAAGAGAGATACGGCCGGCCTCCAGGGCCTCCTCGGCTAAAGCGCTACGGGGAGCAGCATCGCGGACCAAAGGCACAATGTTAAGGATGTCGTCAGCGGTGAAGGTGACAGCGAGCTTGGCGGGGGCAGGGGCGCGAGTGGGAGATTTGGCGTCACCACCCTTCTTCTTGTTGCCCTTCTTCTTGGGTTCCTCGCGGTTAGTGCCGTTGGAGGTGGGTACGGGGACCACCACTTCCTTGACCTGGTCCTTGCTGAAGGGGTAATCACGGGCACCAAGCTGGAGACCCAGCTTGATGGAGATATCTCGCAGAAGCTGCAAGTGTCTCAAGGTGTTGGCCCAGCCGTTCTCCAGGGAGAAGCGGAAGCGGATGGTGACCTGCTTCTCGATCTCGGCGCGGAGAGACTCGGGTGTAACCTTCTCGAAGGAGAGGTCGCCCTCGGGGAAGATCTCACGCAGGGATTCGTCAATCTCAGCCTTGGGAGTAGCGTTGACGGCGGAACCGAGGAGACAGTTCAGCAAGTGAGAGATGCAGGGAGCAACGAAAGGAGCAGGAACATTGCTGAGGTAGCGGTTGGCGACGTGCTTGAAGGCACGAGTAATCATCTCCTGAATGAGGAGGGTGGACAGAGCCTGCAGGCGAGGCCCCTTCTCGTTGGACTGCTGAGCCAACCTTCCGAGGTAGCGCAAGTTGATACCGCGCTTGTGCAGTAGCTGGGTCAGCGATTGGCCGTCCATGGGGAAGCCAACATCGCCGTCGTGCAGGTCCTTAAGTAGGTCGGGAATAACCTTAGACCGCAGATAGTCACAGGCGTCACGGACCTCCTTCTCATCCTGGGCCCACTGCTCCTTCTCCTCTTTGGTCTGGGGGACCTGACCGCTGAAGACATCGGGGTTGAGAGCCAAGTTGAATCCGGAGATGTCAACACGCTCCTGGTCGGCGGCGGTCTCCTCCTCGGTCTTGCCCTCCTCCTTGGGGGCCTCGGCGGCAGCAGCACGACGGCGCTCTACCTCTGCCTTGACGTACTGGCTCATCTTGTGGCGCCAGTAGGACTCAACCAATTCAAGTCTGAGAACGGACATGCGGTGAGGGTAGACATCGCTGCCATCCTCCTGCTGCCACTCGGCATCCATAGGAGCCACGCGGTACAGATCCAAGACGTACTTACGGCCATCAGTGCCGAGAAGACCCTTGGTCTCAACGCTGCCCTCGAGATCGTGGCGCTTGTTGTCCTTGTCCCATACGGGGTGAGACTTGATACGCAGAGCTTTGGAGAGCTTCTCGAAGACGGGAACAAAATCGGAGTGAGTAGCCACAACCTCCTTGCCCTCAACACCACCGTAGTCGATCTGGTGCTCACCGGGCTCGCGCTGCTTGAAGATACCAGGGACAATGCTCTGGCCAACAATACGCTTGCCAAGGTAGTCGACAACCACGGTTCCAGGGGTGAAGAGTCCATCGATATCGAGCTGGTTGACAGCCTTAATTCCGAGGACATCCTTGCCAACAGCCACGCGTGCGGCCTCGTCACCACCCTCGGAAGTGAAAGTGCCAACGCCATCAGCACCGAAGGAGTAGAAGATGTTGTTGTAGACAAAGATTTGGGCGTCCCGCGCCTCAGTGGGGTTCAGAGGAGCAACCTCGCCCCGGGCAACCAGAACGGCACCGCGAGCAGCGGCTTCGTTGTAATCGGCGAACAGCTTGGAAGTCAGACGTTCGCGGAACACACGGTCCTGAACAGTGTCGCGGGGCAGCTCGCGTGTAGTCTGGAACTCCTCATTCCAGTCACGCAGAGTCTCGGCATTATCAACGCCAGAGATCAGGTAGTTCTCCTGAGAACGAGTGATATCGGGCTGGTGAGCGGTTAAGCTGGAAGTAGAGGGGGAAATAAGCCATGGGCTGTTAGGAATGGCGTTCTGGAAGGGGAAGGTGGTCAGGAGATCCTTCTCGTTGTTGTACTCCTGCAGAGCTTTGAAGGACTCGTCAAAAGAAGGAGAGATGTGGGAGATCAGAGTGAGCAACGAGTGGGCGCTGCCCTTCTTGTCCTTGGGCATGGGCTTAGGGAAGGGATCGAATCTGGTGTTTGAGCACTTGTTCACGAAAAAGCCGGACACGTGAGCAGTGATCTGGAACTGTTCGCCTTCGTTGGTGGTAACCAAAAGGTAGAGCAGGTGGCCCTTCTGGCGGAGGTTATAGGGAACGGGGTTCCATGAAGACAAAGAGATAGACTTCACTGTCTTAGGAAGAGGAGCCTGCGCGGTAGGCAGGATGGTCTGCAGTGATGAAACTCCGGTCAAGTCGTATTTGGAAAGCGAGTGCTCCTTCTCCGAGGCATTGGCCTTCACGGCGTCCGCAGAGATGGCGTCATGCAGCGAGAGACCAGCGGAGATACCGTGGAGGTTATCAACCCGGTCACCAGAAGCACCAATCAGCTCTCTGATGCGGACGACATGCATGCGAGCCTCCTTCTCGGTGTAGGGGTCCTCAACCAGGACGATCTCGGAGTCGGCCTGAAGGTCCGGCACCTCGGACAACTCAACAAAGTCGTTGATACGGCTGCCGTTGAATTCAAGGTGGAAGCAAGTGTATTGGAAGGTACCCGGTAGCTCGACAATAGATTGGCGGACATCCTGCACCTGTTCTTGGCTGGACACCTGTAGAAAGAAAAGAGTCAAACATACATTCCTGGATCTTCTTGAATATTGCACCCACCATCACTTGAATCTTATACGGAGCATGAGGAAGCTTCACAGAGATCTGGAAAAGACCTGAAGTCGAGTTAGAGAGCCTTTACACTGTCTCAGTGGTTACCCGACATACCGCCAGCGTTGTCCTCCTCCACGCCCTCGGGGGCGTTGCCATTGGTAACTTCCTGAGAAGTCTGGGGAGCCTCTGTTCCTCCGTTAGCATGTGTGTCCTGCATCTAGGTTTACCGAAACCTGGGCTGTTTTCCGATGGCCGTGAGGGCCTCGAGCTTCAGGGCTAACACACACACCTTTCGAGTGCTCCAACTCCCCATTGGTCTGCGCCATTATGTCGAATTGGTGAAAAAAGAAGCTTCGACAAAGAATAAATGCCACAAACCCCTATCCCACAACCGTCACGCGGATGGGACAAAAGTTCGGAAAAATGGGTCGGGAAAAAAAGAGGTTAAGGCCTGCGGGGAATCGGCAGGAAACAAAATCTTAGTATGATACAAGGAAAAAGGGCAATGGGCAAGAAACAAAAACCCCGTACCCCAGAAAGTTGAATAGGATGCTAAGACGGTGAAACAGGGAAACCGGAGAGAAAATTTCGCGGATGCGGCATACCCTCGGAAGTGCTCGGGCGGTGGGTTCGGGGAAGACGCGGAGAGTGCCTTTTCTCCACTCTACAGTTGGGATTTTGTAAATGGCCTTGCTATTTAGATCGGTAAAAGTGTAGTATAACTGAGGTAACGGGGTGGTGGTAGTATTAGTATATAATTTCCATTGTCTCGTTGACAAACTCATAGATTATAGTATTTAGTGTCTTGCTGCCTCAGGTGTCTATGTTTTTGTCCACGTCGACATACATTGGCGATCGAGTAACTTACACCGTGGCATCTTGCCGTAGCAAAAACTTGTCAATGTTTGACTCAGGCTGGTTTTTATATGCCTCTTGGAAATGCATGACTGCTCGTGTCGTGAATCAGTTCAAGTTGAAGCTGTTTGGGGACGTTGTTGACGTATATATAAGGAGAAACATAACACAAGGATACTACGTCACTGACAAGCTACATCTACCCCCGTAACGCGGATGCATTACCACTGTTACTACTTCGATCTGGCTCCCCAGCGCACCGAGAAGGGTTTCACTCGCCCAAATGTACAGACTTTCTCACTTGCAGCTTTGTTGGGGCTGAAGACCAACGAGTTTGACGCACCAAAAGAACCAAAATGCTGCATGAGGGAATCCAAATCAAAGAGCCACAGGTGCACAATAATTGTCCATTATAACATCAAAGAAGCTCATATCATACATATTGAAGCCAATATACAGATGATCAGAGCGTAGCCGAATCGACACGCCAAGCCTTCCCCATCCCTGGTTCATCGAGGCTGAGGCCGGAGTCCACCTCTCGACTAAGCCACACTCTTCATTCGTATTCTGACTTGTTTCTTGATCCTTCAGCCTCTCTTTCAACTTCATTCTTTTCATTTCCAGCTCTCAGCTGAGTCTCTCGTTTCTCTTTTAACGACGCGTCATCCTCTGGAGTGACCTTGTGAACTCATTTTCCCAATACACTCCTTATATCATTACGCTTTGGATTGCGGTTTATCACCGAATTCTGTGAGCCTCGTTGGAGACCTCACGCCTCAGAGCACTCCATACACACGCCAAGACGGACCAGGATGCTATGGAACCGACTTGCACAACCGGCAAGGGGCTATGCCCGGCGGGGCCTGCCAAGACTTCGGTTTAATAACCGTGTTGTGGTGTATACACCGAAGCGGTTCAACTCAAACCCTCAGAACACCGGGCAATATACCCCGGACCCTACCGACCAGCCTGATTCAGATGAGGGCAAAGGCCAAAGCCATGGTCGCAATGGCGACTCAGACCCTAACTTGAAATCTACGATTCTCAAGATGCTTGAAACCGCGGCAACCACTGCGGCATCGATTTTCATCTTAGGGTAAGGATTCATCACACGAAGTATATGATATTGTGGCTAATATTTTCACAAGAGCGGCGGGTTATGGGTATCACCAGTACTACAAGTACTTGATCCTGGACAAGATGGACAATGCGTTCAAACCAGGTGATCCCGCCCTCGAGGTCGCAGGCGTTGTATCTGGGAAGCATCAGTACCAGCACGAGGAGCATTGGGTTATTCGCAATGAGCAACCCAAGGTTGACGATATTGTAGCCGGGCGAAGAACGGGCCACTACTACCTAATGATCGGCGAAAAGGGCACGGGAAAGACCTCGATGCTTCTAGAGGCCATGCGCAAGATCAATGGCAATAGCTGTGCGATGTTCGAAGCGCACGCCGATCTCGAGATTTTCCGCATCCGACTGGGTAAAGCCTTGGACTACGAATTCCATGAGGAGTAAGCTTTCACTATTATCAGCCACAAGCAAAAATACTGATAAAATTTTAGCTACATCGGCAGCCTTTTCAGCATCCGTGGGCCCAGGGACACTACTGCCCTTTTGGACATTGAACGTGCCTTCAACAAGTTGGAGAAAGTGGCACTCACCAGAAGACGCTCCGGCTCGTCTCCGCTGATCCTTATTATCAACAGCACTCATTTGGTCCGAGACGACCATGATGGACAGGATTTGCTAGAGATGATTCAGCAACGGGCGGAACAATGGGCTGCCAGCGGCCTTGTCACAACCAGTAAGGAGCCAGCAAGTACTTCATTCAACCTTTCTAACTCGCGTCGATTCCAGTCCTCAACAGCGATGATTATTGGGTTTATGAGCGCCTGAAGCGTTATGCAACCCGTATGGAAGTCATACCCGTGACCGACCTACCCAAGGACAAGGCGATGGCTGCGTTGAAGAAGTACCGCGAGCAGTATTGCAACCAGGTTCTCCCCTCATCGACTCTGGAGCAAGTCTACGACAAAGTGGGTGGTCGCCTGTCCTTCTTGAGCCGTGTCGCCAAATCCGACGATATGACCAAGACCTGCGACGACATTTGCCGTGCCGAGAAGACCTGGCTTCTCAACAAGTGTTGGATTCTCGGAGAGGAGATGGATGATGATGTGATGGACGAACAGAAGTTCTCCGTGAGTAATAACCACAGAGCCCCAACCTATTACGCAAACCAATCTAACTATAAACCAGTCTGCGGCTATGGTCCTTGCCAAAGCACTTGTAGACCTTGAGAAAGAGATGGAGCGAAACTATGATCCAGAAGGAGGCCACATCCTACCAGAGATCCCGCTCCACAAAGCGCGCGAGATCATGACCCGTGCCGACTTCATCCAATCTTACGATCATGAGAATATCTTCACCATCGACTCGCGAGCCATGGTGCGCGCCGATTCAGTGCCCATGCAACGCGCCTTCCGAGAGATTTGCGCCATCGAAAACTTCGATTCGCACCTGGATAGCACTCTGGAGCGTATTGGCGACATCGAGAGTCTTGGCCGTACTCGTGAGTTGACGATCAAGGACCTATGGAACAAGGGCAAGTACAGAGTAGTGGTGAAAGACAACCACGGACGTGAAAGTGGCACTGTGGAATTTGCCGTGGCAGAGACAGAGGAGGACTAATGCTTAGGGTTGTATACTTGGGGCCCCACTGTAAATTAGCAAACCCTGGAATTGTACTCCGTAAAATGACATCATCACGTGCTCACCGCTAGCACATTCCTTGCCATCTTTTTCTCGCTCTTGTGACTGCACTCAGTTCAGACTCAATTTCTGTATTGCAGTATTATCACAATCAGATCTGAAACCATGTCTCCCAAGAAGCGGACTGCATCGAGCACCACCACACGACCCACACGCGACCTCACGGCCGTGACGGAGTCCTCTCCGCTGACGTGCATTCCCTCTCTGGCGCGCTTTATCCTTGTCGTATTGAGCAGTCTGATCGTGAGCTCAATTCTGTTCACACTCACTTCCAGCCTGACTCTAGGTGATCTCGGGCCGATCAGTAAACACCTGGAAGAATGGTGGGAAGTGGGGGTCTTGGTCGGCTGGAGAGCTGTGGAAGTCGGGGTGGCCTGGGTGCTCGGGTTTGATGGTAAGCAAAGCTCTGCACCCCATTGCTATCTTGCAGTGCCCCTGCAGCCATACAGATAAATTACAGAGACTAACTTTGGGTATGATCGTGTGAAATAGGTCGCGATGTCGCATCGTTCCTCTTCTTGACCCACCTACCGATATACTCCCTCTTGTCCTGCTTCTATAACGTGCGCCCGACCTCAGCTCTGATCTCCTACGGGATCACAATCATATCGACGGCTCTTCCATTTGTCGTCCTGCGCCGGCCTTCGTCCGTCCACGATCTCTCCCACACGCCCTCTGGCGCAATTGCCAACCGAGGCATCTTGCAGGACAAGCTCACCACTTTCTTCACGAGCTTACTCGCAACCTCAATTTTCAGCATTGTGCTGTATATCAGCTACGCGTCCTGGCTTCCTGCGCAACTGGTCGTGCACTTCGAGAGTCTCCCGGATATTAGCGCCGCGCACGCTGGACCCGGCGGCCTGCCGGTGCTCCTCCTGACTCTCGCTCCTGCTGGTTGGGCCGCGCGTGACTTCCTGTTCGCCAGCTCTACTGGATACGCGATCAACGACGCTCAGTCGGCGAGCGCGAGCCGCGAAGGCGAATACTTGATTGCGGCTATTTACCGCAAGACCTGGGGCAAGCTATCTCCCAAGTCCAGAATCCTGGTTTCTCGGTCGATTATCCTTGCAGCTGGCATCCTACTCAACACCATTGTCCAAGTGGCTGGCACCATTCGTGATGTCTCTGTCGTAGGTGCTGCTACATGGGGATCCGTCTGGGCTGTTTCGGCGCTTGTTACAGGAATAAGCTTTGGCTGGATTGAAGCCGTGGATGGTGTATGATATTTGACATTGGATATTCTCGTGCAGGGTTTGATTTAGTGTTTCTTTGGTGCCTGGTGCCTGACCGGTGGGCGAAATGCACCATTTCAAGCGCCTTCTTTTTTGATGGAGCCCACGAATCTCGATGGCTTTTCGATGCTGCCGCAGTATACCATTATTCCAGGTTAATCACTTTCGTTCCTTTTCCCCTCCCTTTATATTATCATTCGGTGCTTGATGGTTTTCCGCTCGTCGATTACCCTTCAGATCATGTTTTAATAGGGCATCCTGAATATACGTTGCCGTTAAGTTTAATCAAAAGTCTATATCAACACTAATTATCTCCTGAATATCAATCGCTGCTCGCTATTATCTATCTTCTAGGGCAATCACAAACAAACACTGGTATATAGAAACAAAGCCACACCAAAAACACCAAAAGAAATCGAATAACAAAACGAACAGCACTCAATAATGAAGAGGCGGACCGCGATTCACCTCCAACCCATCAGCAGAACGATTCATTTCCAGCCCATCAGTAGAAGATCTCTCCCCCTTCGAGGAAATGGTCTTTCCACTAGGCAACAACCAACCAGGATGAAGCACATTAAAGACAGCCACCGAAACAATCATCATAGCACCATCAAGCGCAATAAAGTAACTTTCATGGGTAATAAGGTACCCCGACCAACCCTGCGACAACTCAATAGTCCGATAAATACTCCGAATATAGATGCAAACAATGGACAACACCATCGCAGCAAACAAAGGAATAACCGAGCCAGTAAGCGACTGCAGCAGCCGGCGACGCATCGTGCGACGGACAAAGTCAGCTGCGCAGAATACAAAGATGGTAATCGAGAACAGCTGGAAGACAATGCCGGCAACCATGATGTGCGTGCCTGGCGCGGTATCACCGTCAATCTTGCCGGCTTCTCCTGAGGCCATGCCGCCGCCGACGGCTTGAACGACCAGGGAGATTACGTCGCAGGTGCAGAAGATCCAGAGGTAGAGTTTTGGCTTTAGGATTGAGGATTCGTTGCCGAGGAGTTGGATGAAGCGGCCTAGGAGGATGTAGATGCCTGCTGTGTAGAAGGTTGGGGCTGGTGATTGTTAGATGGTGCTTGGATATTAGACAGGGATGTAGGTCTTACCGATGATGAGGGTGGAGATTTGCATTAGGAATGCGGTTGAGTTATATGGGCATTTGGATGACCAGGTACGGCCTGCCCAGCCGATGACTTCGACTGTTGCGGTTGTCAGTGATTTGTTGCGGGAGTTAGGGTTCGGTGTCACAGGTGACAATGAGACAATGTACGTACCCAAACATCCGATGCTGAACACGCTCGTCCACCATGTTCGCTTCCAAGTCATTTGGACTGTATGCATGATCATCGAGAGACCGAAGAGTGTGCAATAGGCGATGCCTGCTGCCAGCGTAGGAACGTATCCGTATGAGCTTTCCACACCATCGACAGGGGCGTGGCATCCAACTTCCAGCTGAAGTCTATCAGCCATATCGAAGGAAGTAAATAAACGTCGAAAAATGTATCGAAAGAAAAGACCGACGGTATATCTGTATTTGGATAGAGAGATTTAACGACGATGCTCTAAGCGGCTCAGTAGAGCTTTATAGACAACAAGACCAATTGCCTAGATCAGAGGAGCCCCAACGAAGGACAAGGAATCAGGCATCAATATTCAGAATCGAGAAGTATAAGTACGAGTCAGCATGGCTGAGCAGATACTAGCCCCCACCATCGGGGAAGAGCTTGCGAGGCCAAAGCCACGGGTTTATTAATGTACGTCTACTCCGTCCCAACTACCATGCTGAATTTACCGGGGAGAGACAAGTATAAGACCCGCACCGGAATAGCCAATCGCAAAACAGGAACCACGCGAGTTGAGACATATCCAACGGGTTGATAACCGGGATGGCTCTGTCTAGTTTAGTAAATGAAGCGAGAAGGCCGCAAAGACGTGGGAACCGCTAAATGCTTGACCGGAGTGTGGGAAATACATGGACCAGTCGTACATGGTATTGTCCTTGTGTATGGGAATATGACATCAAAGCCAAAGAAAAAGAGAAAAAATCCTTCAGATCTTATAGAGATTCGGGCCGAACTACGTGCGTTCTCGCAAGCTCATCCCTTTTGGGTTTAGCGTGGAGCGTTTCGCCGAGTCAGCCCTGGGATGATTTGACCTCAGACTTCCAGGTTATCTCCGATCCGAGAGCGAGGATCCAGAGAGAGCGTTGTTAGCGGCACTACCGACTTGGCTTTTGGGGGCTTTTTTAATATTCCGAAATCCGACGGCCAAATAGGCTTTTTGGCCCTATCCAACCAAACCTCGCTGAGGTGAGATCGTATTCATCATGCAACGAAGTTGCTACATGTACGTGATGGAGAGTGCATTCTCGAGAAATATTGAAATCTAGCCCTGGATCTGCCGGAATAACGGACCCTAGAGACAACCCAGGGCCGCAGTCTCGGATGACGGCGGATGTGCCAGCGGAAAAAGAAACGAGAACAAGATCCACCTACCGTGGTTATCTATTGCCGCTTAACTGGTACATACTATAGGCAATACGCTTTGATATAATTTTGAAGTTCTATTGGCCTTTTGTATAGATCTAAGCAATAACGTTATGGCCCTTGGAGCAAGGACATGTTAATAACTTTAGCTCCAGAAAACTAAAAACAAAAGCAATTCCAGCACGTTTTAAACACGTTGTTTTACGCGAAGTAATGCTTCTCTTTGTGAACAACAGATCGGCTTGCGCAGCGCACTTGATATACTTCGACCAAAACTTCAATAACCTCCAACCAGATAGGTTGTAGATTGATGGAATCATAGAGCCTTCTCCGCCCAACCACGACGCCGCGCATCAAGATGATACATCCTAACAAGGAGCCTGGAAAGAGAGAACTGACAATGTCGGAGCCACTCATGTAAACAACACAAAACGCAGCCTATACACACCCACTGCAACGAGATAACGATTCCATCGAGACCAATTCTCAACCCTCCTAGTCCAGACCCCGACCAACACAGATAGTCAGGCAGCTACTGTGACCAACGAAAGAAAAACCAAGCCTTGCCGTGGCGGTCCAGATATCAATACAGCGGACCTATCTGGTTGGACAAACGCACCATGTTCAGTGAGCCTCCTTCCACATAAAGCAAGACATTCAATTGCTCAGCATTCTGTTCCAGATTCCATTGAAATCTTCTGTACTCAGCAATGGAGTCGGGGAATTGGGTCAAGCGACTACGGGGAGTATACTCGAAAGCGAGGGTGATGTCATTTCATTGATATACGGGAGGAGCCGCGTTTCAGTTGTATGTGTGAGTCTAGGCCTGAGAGATAGAGATATTGTGTTCCTTAAATGCGGTAAACCCACACGGACTTTGTTTAGATACCCTCCAACCTCTCTCTACCGCCCTCGATGCCTAGATCACATCCAACAAGACCGACGTCACGGATACAGAGCAGATTTATACCCCTTCCAAACATATCTTACCGACTCTTTGATATCAACTGCGAGTGTGGTGACTCGTGAACGAGTTGGTGGAAGCAGCGCAGCGGTTGACTTTGACCCTTTCAAGTTTGGAGGCACGGTGGATATTAATTTGAAAAGAGCATCTTATATTGTGCGTGCAGTAGTGCGAGATATGAGTTGACGCAGTAGTTTTCGAAATCAGTTATATCCCACACTCTTACGACTCGATTCCCCGAAAGTAGATCTGAAATGCACTAACAGTTCACCGCTCCGTAATTTAGGCAGAACTTTTCTGGTAATGGCCGTACTTGATGAGCTATCAGTATGATACTGTAATGCTCAATGGAGTCACGTAGAATCTCTTGGTACCAAGCAAGGGTTGTACGTAGAGTAAACCCAATATGGATTAGTGTGATTCGGGTACGGACCGAGAAACAAATCGTGTCTCTATAGGGGAATGTGTTTTCGACTCTCACTGTAAACAAATTCCGGGACGATGACCTGTGCGAGGCTCTGAAGTTCGTTCAGGGAGGGGCACAGAGCACAGGAAAAAAAATATATTTGTGGTAACCTGCATATCGCTTCGACGAGTAGTCGGGGTAAATGATATCCATCCACTATATACAAAAGCCCAGCACAAACCCGGGCACGTAAAGAAAAGCGATGGCACTCATCCCATGGATCGCGCATTCGTATAGTACATATTTCCCCTCCCGTTTTAATGCCCAGCCATCGCCGCCTCTTGCTTACCGAGTAGAACTAACCACACCCTGAGCCTCGCAGAAGCTAGCCTAATGGAATACACAGGTGTATGCTTTCGAATCATATTCCATCTGCTCGACTCATAGCAGTTTGTTCGAACCCAGGCCTTGTTTAAACAAAAATATCATTTTGCGCACCTTTGGAGAGTGATTTTTTGTTAGCAAATTAGTTCTCATTGTAAGTTTATAGTAGATGAAGACGTACCATTTTTGAAACCCCACGCCGTGTTATACATAGGTGTCTTGCCATTGGGGACTTGAACGTTGTTCCCGGTTTGCTCTATGATTTCAAGTTACTTCTGGGTATACCGTCCAGGAGAAGGACTGACTCACGGTTGAAGGCAATCATTTGCTTAGCACCCTTAACGCACTTGCTGGTATCATCCGCACAATAAGCAGCGACTTGAGCGGCGGCGACCTTTTTCGAGGAGGTAGACCCAGTGACATTACACTTATAACCAGCCATATACCTGGTTCTCTTGTCAGTTAACGGACTGGAACTAGATTATGGACACTTACATGTTGGGCTGTCCACAACCGTTCGGGACCTATCTGGTGTCAGTTAAGTAAAACCTGGCTGAATATCCATACACTTACCCAGAGCCAGGCACAGGTGCATCCACCAGGAGGACAAGCAGGAAGATCCTTGGGCACTTCATAGGTAGCGACCCGCTTCCATGGGGTGCTATAAACGGATATTAGGAACCCGGGCAGCTATAGTGTCAAAAGCTTCGGAAAAGAACTTACTGCTCCAAAACTGTAAACACAGCCAAGTTCTCCATCGTTACCGCAGCCAGGTCAGACTGATAGCTGATAGCAAACGCAGTTCCAGCAGCCATGGATTGGTTGTTAGTATGCATTGCTCCATCGTCCTGAATGCAGTCGGGCGGGCTTCCAGGACCGGCCCAGTCTTCGGAGTGCTCTTTCCCGTCCGGCCATTCAGAGGTATACTTCCCGTCGTATGAAAGCGTAGTCTGCGCGCGGTTGTGCGCAAGTTCCACCGTGAACTTTCCGCCAGCTGGGAGCTGCAGGATGTCGCCATCCGCTGGAGGTGCTGCGTCACAGCCGCGATCGTGTTGGAACCACCATTCTTCACGAGGGAGGTTATACAGGGGAGCAACGGCTGTGTTTGTGTTCGCGTTGTCTGTCGAAAGGTCGGGACCTCCCAGGCAGTACATGCCTTTGACCCAAGCAACTGTGTGTGCTTGAGCAACAGCACTCAATGCGAGGAATGCAACGGGGTGCAACATGATGAAGGAGACAGAAATCTTGGAGGAAAAGCGGGAGTGAAGACCGTGGTTATTGTTGGAAGAAGATGAAACTGAGAGCAAGTAAAGAACTCAAGTAGGGAAGTACTGGTATTTATGCAGAAAGCACGAGAGTACGACCATGAATGCATCATAACAACTCTGGATGAGAGCTTGCCATGTTATCCGGGTTACACCTGCCATGGTTCTTGAGTAGTTATTAATTTTTGTTTCAGGTTTTCTAGCAAGCGGCAATTGCAGTTACATCCGTACGATACAGATGAAAAAGCTCCACGAATATGAAACCGACTAACTAGTATAGGAGATTGGTCTCTCAGGTTCGAAGAGAAATTACTATACCTGGAAGCAATCTTTCAAATTGGGTTTGGCCAGCTGCGGAATTTCGGCATCTGGGCAAGACTCTCAAAATATTGATTAAAGGGACCGATCGCAGGGTTCAAGGCCTGCCTCAAGAGTACTACCGAGCGGGGTGGGGTGCTCGCCTCCCCTGAATCTCACGGCCCCTTCGTTTCATGATACTCGGTTTATACTCTTACCATAGCGGTTTCTAGTGACTTAAACACATTATTCAATGTCCCACAATCGTGTCGTAAAGTTCTAAGATTGTAGAGGTATAATTGATTTACTTTAAGAATAGCATATGGTGAACAGATGGGAACCTAAGGTAGACCAAGACTGTAACATTTTGCTGAATTAATAAAAAGGCCTTGGGCACTGATTGAAAGCATCTTTGTCTGCTGTCTATAGATGCCTATTCATCAGGCAGTTGGTGATATTGACTGCTTCTAGTCAGTCCAATTAGAGAGGCTGCTGGACTGCTCTAGCCCAAGAAAGGAATAGTGTGTAGGCTCCCATGTAGGCTCCCATGTAGGCTCCCACGCAAAACCAGACTTCAACCTACAACTCAGAAATTGGTATATAAACAAATATATGTCTACATTAGCTGAAGCTTGAAACAGTGAAAAGGATGGGTAGGTTGAACCTTGACCTAATTACTCAAACGCGATAGCGTAACTGACGGTGTCCAGGCTATTCCGAGGTACAGAATTTCTTACTTCATCTGAAGATAATACGGCATTTCTAATAGTCTGCTAGGCTTACTGTCATCTCTGCGGTGTGAGCTTCAACATAATCTTCGGCTCAATCTCAGGAGAGCTGGACCCCGATGATCGAGACCAAACAACCTTACAAAGGGACAACCCAGCCGTCGACACGACAGACGTGGCCTGCTCTATGGACTATGAAGAAACTGATCACGATGTCGAATACAGGCCCCAAGAAAGTGAGGATAGTGAGGCATATGAATATGGCTCCGACATTTCAACCGACGCCAGCAGTGACGAAGAGACGCCCGAAAACGAAGAGAGCCTTGATATAACGGACACTGAGATTCAGCAGTATAACGACTGGGCAGTGAGAACTTTCAACCCAAATTGCAGAGAGCCCGAGGAACATGTTGGATATTTTGATGCTGGGGAATCCGCATATTCGACCAATATAATCTCTCCCGAAGAGGCAAGAGGCTGCCGCACAGCCCAGTTCTTGCTCCATAAAAGCAGTGTGTGGCAGCCCGACGAGCTACATGAGCCCTGGGAAATTAACGGAGACTGGGCACTCTCCGGGATATGTGATGGAATGCCATCGCGCGATTGGGAGATTCCAACGGTGTGGCCTGCGCGAGGTGGAATAGAGGAGCTAGAAGCGGACAATGACAATTACTATGTGGGTCGTCTTTCTTGGTAGTCTCGAATCATGTTGAAGATCTTGATTATGGAACGAGGCTGATATGTGGCAGCCACACTTGGCTCCCAACGATATAGCAATGCCGTTGCATCCATGGTGCTTCGATATTTTCTGCCGGCAATCTAAAGTCCAGTTCAGACGAGTTGAGGCGTCAGGACTCATGAACTGGCGCAATTCCGAACTTGATCAAGAGGCCTTTTACCGGTTTCCTCGGGCGAAAGAGGTCAAGAGGGCACAGAACCAATTCTGGCGCCATGAACCTGGCAGTGAGTATCTGGCTGCCAGTCCTCTTTATGTGCCCGGACTCTCAGAACTTCTTTTGTCCGCGGTAAATGGCGAGATAAGTTGTGAGCGATCTGGCCGATTTAAAAAGGTTGCATTGTCGCAATCTACCAAAGCTCGGCATAGATCATCCCAGCATCAGCGGGCCGATATCTTCTCATCAATGCCCGTGGAAATTCGCCTCATGATAATCGGATTCCTAGGATCAATTGATATCTCCAGCTTAAGGGCTGCTTCTAGGACATTCACACATCTTCCCAACAGTGTGTGGTACCGACTAATACGTGAAGAGATGCCTTGGCTGTGGGAAGCATGGGATGAATCCGAATGCAAACATATTCCTCAGATCTGGACAACAGTGTCTACAGCCCAGGTCAAATCTATTTTGAAATCACGGAAGCGCGTGTCTGAAGTCTTGAGTGTGGACTACATGGGACACAAGGATGCCGAGAAGGCTGCTGAACACTGGTTCCCTATGCCGTGCGAAATACCAGACCAGGTAAATTTGCCCAGACTAAGAACGGACTGGCACTTCGTCTTCACGCAGATCAAGCATAATTTAAACAGGCTAAAGGGCTTGCGGAATCGACAGCGGATCTGGGCAGATGTGGAGGAGATTATTCGACGTATTGAAAATCTTGAAATGGCTTCTGATGCGCCATAGATGAAATTATCTAGCAAGATAGTTGTTATTAGAATTCCGCTCTAGTCAAATTTCGGGGTGTCATAAGTATGTTCGGGATCTGAGAATTAATATCAGCTTTGCTCACGAATTATATAAGGAACACAGATACTCACCTTTGTGGTTGTCGATGATGTACTTGCGCGAGCTGACAATGTCTAGCTCAAGCTGAGCATTCAGCTCCGGCTGGCGAACCCGCACCTTCTCGCTATGCTTGGCTGCGCCACGAAGTGCATGTTGAGCAACGTGGAAACGCGAGACACGATTGACGAGCATCATATCAAACGGCGTAGTAGTACTACCCTCCTCGATATAACCAGCCACAGAAATGCGGTCAAGACCGGGACGTCCAAAGAGCAAGCCCTGCACTTCGGTTGGATAGCCGTGATAGTTAAAGTGGACTGGTTTATCCGAAGTGAAGAGCGTGTTAAACGCCTCGGTAGACAGGGCGTGCGGATGCAATCCCTCATTTTCAAGGATCATCAGGTCCGTCACGTTGACAACGCAAACTCGCAGCTCTGGCGCGATCTTACGCAGAAGCGCCGCCGCCGCGATCACCTCAAACATCAACTCGACACCGATACCGGCCAGTACCACGTCCGGGTTGGTTCCATTGTCCGTGCTGCAGAACTTCCAGATCGATGCTCCTGCGCGGCAGTGGATCTCGGCTTCTTCGGGACTGAGATACACAGGAGTCGGCTGCTTTGAGCCTACCATGAGGTTGATGTAGTTCTTGGACTTGAGGCAGTGGTGCACTGTCGTCGCAAAGGTGTTTGCGTCTGGTGGCAGGTACACGCGAGCAGCGGTGGGCTTCAGCTTTAGTACTGAGCCAATGAATGATGGGTTCTGGTGGGAGAAGCCGTTGTGTTCCTGGCGTGTCCAGGTGCTAGTTTCGATGTAGTTGATGCTGCTCACGCCGGAGTGCCATTTTGTTTCGAGTGCCTATATAAAAGCATATGTTTAGGTTGGGTTTGTCAGAGGAAAAAGGGGAAAGGGCTCACCATTTTGATGAACTTGGCATATTGCACCATCATCGTGTGAATGATACCGAGGAAGCTCTCATATGATGGGAAGATACCAATCCGACCGGTCAAGGTATAGCCCTGCAGGAAGCCTTGACACATGTGTTCACTGAGAACTTCGATTACACGACCACCTCGCGCGTTGGCAAACTCATCCCATTGGAAGTTGCGGTTCGTGCTATCGAGGGCAGCAGAAAGTTTGTTACTCTCCAGCTCGTCTGGCGAGAACAGCCGTAGTGTGTGGGGGTTTTGCGTGAAGGCTTGATTAATGAGGCAACCAATTACTTTCATTGCGCTCTCCTTGGACCCTTTCTCCGCGCAGAACTTCTTCCAGTCGGGCAGATCTGGAGGAACATAAGAGTTGTAAGATTCAATGCGCTGGCCAAGTTTCTTTGCATCTGCAGTCGGGATCACGGATTTGATCTCGTCTATGACATCCCCGTCTGCCGTGAACAGTTCCTGTGGCTTGTAGCTAGATAGCCATTTCTGAAGCAGACCCAGTTCTTCACTGTCGGACTTCGCTTTTGGCAGAGGAACCTGATGGGAATGGAACGAGCCCTCAATGAAGTGACCACGGAGCTGTTTCGGACCAGACCAACCCTATAAAATAGAACTATTAGCTTGCGAGCTGCAAATGGAACATGAAACCCATACCTTTGGAGTTCGCAGAATCAACATGGGCCATCTTGGCTTGAGAATCGGCTTCCCAGAGCGAGCAGCCTTCTGAATCTTATGGATCTCCTTTATAGCCCAAACCATGGAGCAATAGAGATCCGTATCTATATCATTGATATCCTCCACAAAACGAACCTGATACCCATACCCACTGAAAAGGGCAACAAGCTCCTTATTATCCATGCAGCCAAAGATGGTCCGTTCACTGATCTTGAATCCATTCACATGCAGAATTGGCAGAACTGCACCCGATTCATTGGGATCAAGGTATTTGATTGCATGCCAGGACCTGTTAATTGTTAGCCAAGAACCGATAAAGAGAGTGATCGACGAACGTCGCAGTGGGGCCAGTTTCGGCCTCTCCGTCGCCCACAATACAAGGGACAATCAGATCTGGGTTATCCATAGCAGCACCGAATGCTACTGCTAAGGCATAGCCCAGCTCTCCACCTTCGTGGATGGCGCCGGGGGTTTCGGCGTTGATGTGGCTGCAATAGTATTAGCTGAGGAAGCTAATAGGAAGTTACAGGACTGACCTTGGTAAGCCGGCTGGGGTGCTAAATGTTGAAATGAGATTGTGTAGGCCCTTGCTGTCTCGTGAATATTGTGGGTAGAATTTCTCCAATGAGCCTTCAAGCCAAAGCGCGGCTAGCACTGCCGGCGCACCATGTCCAGGGCCGACGACATAGAGCATGTCTAAGTCCATGGTCCGGATAAGATAATTCAAATGGGAATAGACCAAGATCAGTCCTGGGCATGTTCCCCAATGGCCTGTAGAGTATTCTGTCAACTAATGATGGTCATGGACTATAGTTCAACGCAGCTTACCCAATAAGCGAGGCTTGACATGGTCAAATGTGAGATCTTGCTTCAGGAGTGTGTTCCCTTGCAAGAAAATCATCGCTAGACCCGAATTAGTCACTGATGTCCAAGTAAATATCGTCACAGCTCACCTGCCGCGATGTATGAGGCCGCTCGGCGAAATTTGAGCAACGCATCGCAGGACTTCTGATCTAGGATTTCACGGTCTAAATTGACACTAAGTTTCTCGAGATAGTCCGGCAGATGCGACGGTTGTGGCTGCGGATTTGGTTCGTTTATGACTTCTCCGGGCATGATGAGTGTATGGAAGATCGACAAGAGCACGGCAAGTGTGATCCACACCAAAATTGGAGATCGAAGAGTCCAATGTAAATAGTGAGATATATGAAGAAGATAGAAAGAGGAATGGAATAGATTAATAGATGGCACCACCAAACAATCATGTTGTGTCAGACCAACAGGATATTTAATCCGCCTTCGTTCCCGGCGACGTCACACCTGACATCACCGTGACACACCAGTTAGCCCTCACAGTTTAATCTAAGTCAATTTGTACTGAGATAATTGGAACACATCCTGCTTCAATTACGCTCAACACATTCAAAATGACAAGGTCCATACTCTCCGTCAACGCGGGGTCATCCTCCGTCAAAATCACCTTCTATACCTTGGAGAACCCGCCAAGAGCTATCGCAGATGCGGAGATCTCTGGGATCACCGCACCCCCTCCATCGTTCAAATACCAGAAGGGAGCTTCCAAGCACAAGGAAGAGCTCAAGGAGAAACTGAACACACCCCAGGATGCGTTCAGTTACCTCTTGAAGCGCTGTTTCAGCGATCGCGAGCTCTCCGAAATCGCCAGCGTCGACGATCTAGCTTATATCTGCCACCGCGTCGTCCACGGAGGGGAATATCATGAAGCAGTCGAGATCAATGACGAGACACTACACCACCTTGAAGCATTGGAAGACCTCGCGCCACTGTAAGCTTGTCACCTTTCGACTATATTGTCTGCTCCCCAATATATATTCACAATGTACTAATTCATTCCACCAACAGCCACAACTTCTCCGCTTTGGAAATTATCCGTCTCTGCAGGACCGAACTACCGAAAGTCAAGAGCGTTACCTTCTTCGATTCAGCATTCCATCAGACTATCCCCGAATCCGTGTACACGTACCCTATCGATCAGGAAATCGCCAAGGCAAATGGACTGCGCAAGTATGGATTCCACGGAATTAGCTACGGGTTTATCCTACGCTCGGTTGCGCAGCACCTAGGTAAGCCGGTAGAGAAGACGAGCATCATTGCCATGCATGTTGGCAGTGGAGCTTCGGTTTGTGCGATCAAGGATGGAAAGTCGATTGATACCTCGCGAGTACCCTGCTGTATATCTATATCAAGTTGAACTTACGCTTACACCATGGTTAGTATGGGACTCACACCTCTGGCGGGATTGCCAGGCGCAACGCGCAGTGGAGATATTGACCCCTCGTAAGTTGATCCAACACTTCCCGTCCACGTTGCAGCGATACTGACAGAATATGCCTCGTGTCTAGATTGGTATTCCACTACACCAACGAAGCAGGCAAGCTAAGTCCAGCAAGCACCAAGGAGATGCACATCAGTACAGTGCGTAGTAACCAAACCAGCCAAGACCATCAAGAACATCGAATCTAACCAACCCCCAAACGCAGGCTGAAGAAATCCTGAACAAGAAATCCGGCTGGAAAGCACTAACCGGAACAACCAATTTCAGCGAGATCGCAGTCGCCAACCCACCTACCAAAGCGCACAAGCTCGCATTCGACATCATCGTCGACCGCATCTTAGGCTACATTGGAAACTATTACGTGAAGCTAAACGGGCAAGTGGACGCGGTCGTCTTCGCCGGCGGTATTGGCGAGAAAAGCGCCCTGCTACGGCAAACACTAGCAGATAAGCTCCAATGTCTGGGCGTGACAGTCGACGCAGCAGCTAATGATAAGGGGCCTGGGGACGACGAGACGGTGAAGGACATATCTGCCGGTGGAGGCAAGGGGCCCCGGGTTTTGGTTTGTCAAACTAATGAGCAGGTAAGTGTCTCACAATCCAGACGTTCGATGATACAATCGGTGTGGCGAGAAGTGCAACCCTTCTGGCGTGTTTACGCTGGAGTCTTGATTTGGGGTTGGATTTTGGCTAACATGGGGTTGTCTTGCAGTTCGAGATGGCGTATCGCTGCGTCTGTACACGGAGCTGAGTTCATCATATGCGAGGTGTCGAGTTTTGCGCGCGGCATGTATTCCAAATGACACGAATAGATGAGAGTGGCTGGGAAGCTGGACGCTGGACATACCTCTAGATTACGATTGATAATATTGATGGCCCTGTCCGTACATTTACATGGACTCCGTGCATACCCGAATCAACTTAATCATTCCAAATAATCGTACCTCTCAAGATGTGACATAGTTTGCGTCCTTTTGACATCGGGGAAGGGGAGGTGTACATGTATTTGTGTGGCTGGGGTGACAGGTAGTCTCCGACGCGTCGAGTCTCAGAAACCCAACCCCAGTCCCGGGTGGATCAGACCCGGAAATTGGGATATTGGGATCGGGAAGAAGCAATACAAGAGTACTAGTGATCCAGATACACGGTCATATTTGCGCCTCAATGCAGTGCATGATCATTCCACAGTGTATGTACCGTACAGTACATGTTAGGGGAAGAAAGCCAAAGCACAAAGTCCCTGCATACCAAAGGACCAAGACGGGGGTGGATGCAGTGTAGCCTATACACCGCTATCATTGGCCTAGACAGCTCAAGTAAAATAGCCTGTAATGTTAGGAATGATGTGACATATCTACTGGACCAGGTTGTCGGAGCGGGTAGTTCCCCGGTTCTCTGCAAGATCGATCGAGTTCAACCATGGTTCTGATCTGCAGGCTAGCGGATTTGGGAGATGTGTATTACTCTGATCCATGGTCTACTGTATCTAAGTGTACTGTGTGTTCGTTCCAAGGTTGCAAAATGTAGGCATGTACCTAAGGGTGCATGGCAGCGATCGCCAGATCGGGCGTTTCCTTTCTTTTTTCGCATGTCATACAGTGTGCATGGTACATGTACAGCGTACATATCCTCTCACGTATGAGGCTGAGGTGTGACGCAGAGAGTACTTTTGATCATTCCCAGGGGGTCCCCATGCAGTAAACGGATACATCCACCAGCCACTTGCAAGTGGCCGCGGAAGGGGATGAGAAGCCGACCTAGCGAGTGGGTCGTGCAAGATTGATTGTATCAACATTGTACTGTGTGTGGCTCGATCAGTCATACTCCCTGCGTCATGTCGTGATGGGTAACAAAATAAAACTAAGTTCCCGAAGTCAGGGGGAGGAAATAGGGGGACGATCGAACCCGACGCGGTGGTCAGCGGAGCGATCATCATGTAGGATTTCCGCGGTTATTGGGATGTGGGCTGTGGCCTGTCATTCTGAAGCCAGAATCTCTCCACTTCTTTGTTGGGGTTCGAAAATCCTTCTAAATCAGGGAGCTAAGAATTGAGATACACACTGGTTCGGGACGGGGAACGCAGCTCCCATGTCAATCCCGAGTTTGTTGGCTTCATTTTTAACTCCCTTAACGGGGTAAGGCGGATTACTGCTGTGGACACCACCCACTATTGGCAGACCACTGCTACCATCAAACTATGGAGTGCATAGTCTTCTAGAACTTCCGTCCATGGAGCCTAACTCTAGAGAGAATTGGGAAATTGTACTTAGATCGCCCGGCTTCGCATCCGCGGAAGCCCTAGTGCGCCATTCTCCTATGTCTAGTGATCTCCCAAAGAAAAATGAATCAATCTGAAGCCACATAGCCCCCCAAACAATGAGAAGGGGAAAAAGCAAACAGAAACCAACACAGACACATAACAGACCCAATTTTAGGAGCAATGACACATCCACAATCCTGTCAAATAAACAAAGAGCCGGCTGGCGCGAAGATGCATCCGGGCCAGGGGATCCCCTGCCTCAATCCCAACGCAAAACACGATAGCTAACACGATCTGGATCCGCGACTGTTCATTCGACTCCCTTGAGATTTGAACGCCACTGCGTAGACATGCTGCACGTATAGGGCCGCGACAGTGCGGATACCAAAGAAAAAAAGGAAAAAACCAAATTGGAAGGTGAGCTACATTACGGCTAAGATGTTCCGGAACAGATGGAAGCCGGTTCATGCAACGGGTAACCTTGTTTTGTACACTAATGCATCGACCCGAAGTCTGGAGACTTTTCTTTACCGTGCCTGTTGAGGTTACTCTGTACTAAGGACTAGAGGGTTTCGGGGCAATCACGAACCACAGCCCTGGGTCTCGGGTCTAGATACCGTTGAGTCTAGTTCCTGTTTCTAACGTGTTCACTTCTTGAAATTCAGGCTATCACGGTCCAGCCTCCCCAATAGAGTGCTCCATACCTCCATACATCCATACAGCATCCTAAATGGTGAAAAGGGGGAAGAAACCTAACTGTGACCATTAAGGTTGACTAACTGATGGAGTCTCGCAGCAGTTTTCTCCCGTTTCTAGCGTCATTCTAGTTGTAATCGAAATGGAGTCTTGCCGAGACCCATAGGGGGTTCCACTATGGAAGAATAGGAAGCTCGTTTCCCTTGACAATTGGACACTTGGTCATTTTTGGTATCGGGGAACACCTAAGTCCGTAAATACCGTTCCTATGACCTATTTTTTATGGGTCATGGCCCACAGGGGATGATCGCCAATTCTATCCGGGAATGCGAAGTGTTCCCCTATTCCCAAGGCCTGTCTCTGGACTAAAGAAAAGCCAGGTCTTGAGTAGAGTGTTTGCGCCGGGGAAGTGGAAGAAGACGTTAGATTCCGCGAAGATTAGCCGCCCAAACGCCCGTCTTGTGTATGGGTTCGGAACTTCCGTTGGTCGCGTTGAGAATGGGTCTTGATCTCTGGTCAACGGTCCTAGGCTGCAATCGACGATCTCCGGATCCAATTACCACGAGGGAGAAACTCAGATTGACCGATTCCATTATATCCATTGGAGGGTAATCCTCCTTTTGGCGAGGTGGACCATAAGCTGAAACCAGCCTACGAGTCTAGGACCGGGACAGGGGAGCGACCCGTCACGGATAGGTACACTTTACCTGTAATTGTGGCTGGATTATGTGTCGGCCCCATTGTGGCGAATTCAAGCTGTATAGCTGTACCCTTAATTAGGGGATATGGGGGTGGGTCAGGAACAAGTCCAGAATGTTTCCCTGTCAAGGTATTACGACCCAAGGGCCCGGGAACTAGAAGGCCAAAAGAATGTTCACGTTCACGTAACGGAGACGGGATTTCATACACTTAGCGCCTCCCCACCCCCTATGATGGAGACTCCTGTTTTTTTTTTTTTTCTTTCCCTTTCTTCGAGATAAGAAAAGTGATGAAGTGACGAGACAAGTGACGAGACAAGTGGCGAGATTCAAAAGCAGGCGCCTAAAGGACCGGCTTCGTTCTGATCTGTAACAGGGGGTTGGGAAAAACAAGATGCAAGTCCGAGATGAAGGTTGCGACTGGTCTTACCTCAATAAATGGTGAATTGCACGGGGAACCGCGTTAGAGGCCGGATGTCTGGCCTTGATTGAATAAAATACTTGGTGTTGGCTAGGGGACCTCCAGGGCTTGACCTAGGCATCATATGTCAGCCCCTGTCTATATACCCACGCGAGAATTATATACGTAAAGAAGATCCATTTTCTCGTTCCTGCGGCTGATCTCCACTTATGCACAAAGGCCCGGAGATTTGGTGGAGTGATACATAAGAGAAGAGCTAGATGCATCCAAGATTAAATTGTGATGAATCAAAGGATCAGGATCTATGTGTATGTATACATGTAAGAAAGGGGGAACGCGTTCCTGTTCCCCGGGGCCAGGAGACGGGAGAGCCGCTGTGCTAAACAAAGAAATATTGATATGATTATCATTTCATTTATTTTGTCTTTTTTTTTTAATTAGCATTTTAGGCCATTTTTTAGTTTCTTTTTTCCTCGATTTAACGATTTACGATTTACGATTTACCCATTTCTATTTTCCTGTTTTAATGGTTTTATTGAATTGGAAAATATAATTACAATAAATTCTGAAGATCAACTCCCCTAGAGGAAAAAAAAACCCTCTATATCAACATCATTTCCCCCTGCGATTTTAATACTTTCGACATACCTAACCATCTCTCCCTACTCCCCTTCCTTCTCCCTTCTCCCTTGCGATACGTCGATTGCTTTTTTGTACCGGATCGACCGGAGCCACTTCCGGAGCACTTCTCCTTGCTCCCTTGCCGTTCATATCCCTTCTCGCCGTTTTCTTGGTTCAGATCGAGATTTCTATGGATTAGCTGCAGCTATCCTCGTATCATTTGATTGGATTTGATCTTTTTTCCACATAAAAAGCAACCTGTCCGACATCTCGAGAACAATTTTCCCTGATTTGTCGAGTTTCGTCACATTCCTGCCCTACGATTCTGCTTGCTCCCGCATTTGTCCCAAGTGGTTATCCTTAAAAGGGTCACCTTTTCCGATCTCGACTGCACCTGCATCTGCACCCACCAGTTTTTGTCTAGACCTTTTTCACTTTGGGGGGTGGATCAGGCCTTTGATTGCTTGGAGATTTATCCATATAAGAACCGTGTTTCGTCGTTGTTTATCGGTGAGTCTCAACCATCGCATTCTTCGCCCTGCAATCGTAACACTCGTTTTCCCGCGGTTTTCTCGCCTTTCTCTAATCATGCTCGCCTCTGCAGACCTCAACATGATTCTCCGAGATCTTTCGGCCTTCAACATGGGACGCGGCGCATACGATACAACTGGGGTGAAGAAGCCTGGTGTACCTCCACCACAACCGAAATAAATCGTTTCGGGATCCCTCGTCATACCCAACATTGCTTTCTACACCACTCGGTCATGTTTTGGATTGTCTGGCCCCCAACAGTGGCTGGAGTTTTGACGCATATGCGTTTGGAGTTTTACTTGATTTTGGTAAGACCAGCTCACCTCACTTTTTGGGCACCAAAACTAACACGGTCTAGATATCTGTAACACTATTTTCGTCTCAGCCATACTTCTTTCTGCCTCGCTATAGGCTTCACGCGACATTATACCCTTTTTAATTCGGCTCGACCTCTGCATTTTCTTTTCGGATACCAAGCGTGGACACTTGTTTTTTGACAGCTTTTATTTTCGCCTGCGCCTACGCGCCTTATTACTTATTTCGGGCCCTCAACCTTTCATCCGCCTCACCTCACCTTCTACCTACCTCTGTTACGACTCGATACCACGGTCCAACCTCTCAAAAGTGCCTTTGAATTTTTTTGTTTTATTTCCTTTGTTGGTTCTGTCTTCTACCCGGCGTTTTGGCATAGACGGGATGGATATTGTATGGGATGCATGGGTTGATACCAGAACCTAGAGCTTCGACCTCACGGTCAATAGCACGTTTTGATTTTTTTGTTTCACTTTTGGATGGGCTCTGCTCCCGGGATATTTTGTATGTGTATTTTTTTTGACGTTGATGCCTGTGTATTATATCTTGCGCAAAACTGTCAGCGCCAATCAATTTTCTATGATCTCCCTTAATTCAGACTGACCTAGATCTACGTTTCGTGCTCCCGAGCTTTGCAACCCACAATTCTCGCGTCGTACTCCGCTCGTACCTGACCGACCACGATTGCGCTAACATCGGGCAGATTTGCTTGCCAACTAATGCCGAGCTAGGAACGGCCAGCCCCGTTGCTGATGCGGGCCTTGCTGCATCGGTAGATATCTCCCGAGCCTGACTAGGGTCTGACCTGCTACTTGAAGAGCGCCCGATGTCGTCCTGCAGAGATGTTGGGCACTGGTCCATTCTGCGATGACAGCTTTCAAGGTGCCAGGAACATGTTTGTTTAGCTGTCTAGCACCGTGCATGAAGTCAGAGTACGTGGCTCTGACTTGACTGGTCCCAACTCTCCGTTTCCCGAGAACCTTGTCTGCCATCAATGCATGTCTGAGATATGATACTAGTTATACTGTAGATCCTTGAACATGTCTTTAAATAGACAGCAAATAAACCTCCAAATAGAGTAGAGTCGAAGTAAACAAGTTATACTTCATCGGATAGGCCTCCCGTGACGAACACGCTAAACCTAATCGGGGATACCCGTCATCATCGACCTCCGCTCTCCACGACCAACACCCTCGGGAACGTCTATAAGCAGGTTTGCATTTCTCATTTCTTATTTCTTAACCAGGATTCAAGATACACAACCAATACGAGCGCATCAGCAGCGAATCGTATCCCAACTCTTGTCTTACCTCTAGGCAGCCCCCAATCCGGACCTGTGGTCACCAGCTGAATCAACCCTGACACTTCATCCGGTCGCCTGATACCTGGTCGACCAACGGCCAAATTCTCTACGGGAAGCCTTTGGATACCTCTATCTCACTTTCGCTTCGCTGTTTCAGCCATGTCCGAGTCAGCGAGCGCAAATGCCCCGAAGCCAAGCAGCAGTGTCAAGCTTGTGCTGCTAGGAGAGGCTGCAGTGGGCAAGGTACGGCTACCTTTGTGACAGGTTATGCGTTTGCCACTAGCTAATCATGTCTTTTCATTGGAATACAGTCATCACTCGTCCTTCGCTTCGTCAACAATGATTTCCAGGAGAACAAGGAGCCGACCATTGGCGGTAAGAACTTCCCATAAACTCAGCCCCCGCAAGACACGAAGTACCTGGTTAGAAAGGAGGACTGTTCTCCGGATCAGGGCAGTGCATTACGTCTATTACCAAGCGATTTCCCCCACAACCGGCTTCTCCGGACCCCTCGAAGTCACTACATGTACGAACCAGGATGACCGAGCTAACTTCATATTTTCAGCCGCATTTTTGACGCAGAAATGCTCCCTTCCTACGCGCACGATCAAGTTCGAGATCTGGGATACCGCCGGCCAAGAGCGATTCGCGTCTCTCGCCCCTATGTACTACCGCAACGCGCAAGCCGCCCTGGTCGTCTACGATGTCACGAAACCTTCGTCGCTGACAAAGGCTAAGCACTGGGTTGCCGAGCTGCAGCGCCAAGCAAGCCCTGGAATCGTCATCGCCCTTGTCGGTAACAAGCTGGACTTGACCAACGATGGCGGCGAGGTTTCTGAGCCCGCTGTCGCTGCCGAGGCCGAATCCGAGTCGGCTGAACAGAATGGTGAGGAGGGAGCCGCTGAGGAAGATGAGCCACAGGATGCTGTGTCTGGTGATGCTCGCAAGGTGTCAACACGGGAGGCTGGTAGCTATGCTGAGGAGGAAGGACTCTTGTTCTTCGAGACTAGTGCTAAGACCGGTACTAACGTAGTGGACGTCTTCACGGCTATTGCCAACACTATCCCAGAAAGCAGTCTGAAGACTGGTCGGGGCACCGGCGCGGGCACTGGCCAGACTTCGCTAGGTCGGTCTGCGGAAGATGCTCGAGTTAACCTGGGTGATCGGAACGTTGCAAAGGCCAATGAAGGTTGTGCTTGCTGATTTGGGTCTGAAGAGATTTGCAATTATTTCCCATGGATACAGGCGTCCCTGCTTTTTCTCTTGTTGAGACTTGTGCTCTTATAGTCTACTGTTATTCCCCAAGTGATTAGATGTAAATTCGAGTGACATTCCTACAAGTAACACACCTAGATGTGTAAGAGTCGAAATAGAAAAGTTAGAGCCGAAGAGAGTGGGTCCTATCAAATTCAGAAGCCACCAATCAGAAGAGAGCCCTAAGGCGGTCGCACTAAGCCTCATTAGGAAATAGCGCGCCCTAAGCGAATGCGCCGATCCCACAGCAAATTCCCAGTCGATTCAATCTGCGAACCTCCCCTCCGTCGACATCACCACCAGCACTTCCCGCAGCACCCCGTCGCTCGCAATAATGGCTGCCATCAACAAGATCGCCTCCAACTCGCCGTCCCGGCAGAACCCTCCGAGCTGGAGACCGCGATCGCCGGCGCTCTCTTCGACCTCGAGAGCAACACACAGGACCTGAAGGCCACCCTTCGCCCCCTGCAGTTCGTCTCTGCCCGTGAGGTAAGAATTGGTGTTCGATAGTGATTCCGCCATGTGAATTGTGTGTTCTGGAATGGCGTCCCACGAATTTTGGAAGGATTTCAATAAACTCTGGGGTTAAGGTTGGATTTGTGGATTGTCTCAATTCACGTCCCTCAACGCCAAAAAAACCTATCAACATGAAGGCGAAGATACCATCAACGAAGAAATACGAAAGACAAGACAAAATTTTCGCACAAGGACGCCGTTTCAGGAGGGATACGATTTTGCATGCAAGACAGTTCAAGGACAATCTCTGACAGTTTTTCCACAACAGGTTGAGGTCGGCCACGGCAAGAAGGCCATCATTGTCTTCGTTCCCGTTCCCCTCCTCGGTAACTTCCACAAGATCCAGCAGCGGTAAGCACCAAGCCCCGGCCCATCGACACAAAAACCACACAAATACTAATCCCCCGCCCTTCAGTCTGACCCGCGAGCTGGAGAAGAAATTCTCCGACCGCCACGTCCTCTTCGTGGCCCAGCGCCGCATCCTGCCCCGCCCCAAGCGCTCCGCCACCTCGCGCACCACTCAGACCCAGAAGCGTCCCCGCTCCCGCACTCTGACCGCTGTCCACGACGCCATCCTCTCCGACCTTGTCTACCCCGTCGAGATTGTCGGCAAGCGCATCCGCACCAAGGAGGACGGCTCCAAGACCCTTAAGGTCATCCTTGACGAGAAGGAGCGTGGTGGTGTTGACCACCGCCTCGATGCCTACGGCGAGGTCTACCGTCGCCTAACTGGCCGCGCTGTTGCGTTCGAGTTCCCCCAGAGCGGTGCTGAGTTCTAAATGTAACTCAGGATTTGTGCCACTTCGTTTTAACTTTGGGATGGGGCTGGAATGTGATTTGTGAATGTGCTCGGTTTCGATGCGTGGGGAATTAATGCCCTGTGTTCTCTAGTTTTGAATTGTTGCTAGATTCATAGGCATTATGGGTTCCAAAAGAGATGACTCCATAAAAATGCATTGACGGTTTTTTCTCTTTTTTCATAACTCGCTGGTTTTGGTTGGTCCTCCCCAGGTTTTTCTGGTGTTTGTCCCTCTGTTTCCTGGTTTTCTGGGCGAGGTGATGGAGCTGAGGTCTTTCTGGGCTATGTTTCTCTTTAATGAGGATGGGATCGGATATGTGATCGATATTCCAATTCAACAATTCAACCTTCACTGTGTTTCCTAGATGTAGCAGATTTATCTCAGCCAGATCTAAATACCTGTAGAACGAGCACCTGATGGAGGATGTATCAACTTAGGTTTGGGGTTATATATCTGAGCTACATGCCATACATTTTCTCGCATGTATATATATCTACGTGGCTCATACTGTTCATACTGCCAATGCTTATTTCAGTCAAAAAGCGAATATATATATCTCAAAAAACGAAATAAACTCAGGGTATGGAAGTATAAAACGCAAACAAAACTATCCACATCCCAATCCTCCAAACACATTGATCTATCTACAACGAAGGCTGAATCCTACCTACACCAAGCACCATCCAATAAGCCAATTCCCTAGTAACCTTGTCATCAGGCTTAGAACCCTTCCCAATATTCCCCTGCTCAAGCTGCGCATCAGCATCCCAATCCATCCTCACAAACACCGGAATCTCCAAAACATCCTCATCAGCCTTCTGACCTGCAACAGCCAAAACACCCTCATCACCCTCTCCATTCCCATCCCCACCTTCAGCACTACTACCAGGCAAAGTACCAGGCACAACTTCCAACACAACCGTCGTCCAATTCCGACCCTTATCCCATACCTTGCCTGCCTCAGGTACGCCGCGCATACCGGCCGTAGTGGCGTCACCCTTCAGCGGGGCTGAGGCACCTTGTAACGCCTCGTCCCAGACGTCGCTGTTGGCGCCGATCTCGAATTGGGGCGAGAGGACGGTGACTTTTGTTGCGACGTTGCCTGGTGTGACCGGGGGCGTGGCGAGGGTTATGCGTACGGGGTCGAACATGTGGTTTTTCAGAGTGAGAAGCACATGCACGGGGCGGAGGGGTGGGAGGGAGTTGAGGTCTGGGGTTGGGGCTATGGCTGGGAGGGTGGAGGATGTTGAGAGAGCCAGGGGGCGGAGGGTTGGGAGGGGGATGTAGCTTAGAGCGATGAGGCGGATGCGGAAGCGAGTGGACTGTGGTTTTGTCTCTGGTTTGACGAGGATGTGTTTGCAGGACTTGCAGCGCTTGGCTCGCTTGGTGCGGAGGAGGACGGGGAGGGGGAGGAGATCATCTGTGAAGCGGGCATCTGGGGATTGGGCTGCGCGCTGCGCTATTGATGCCATCCCATCCCAGCCGCAGCTTGGGGAAGTGATTCGTTTGATTAGATCTTCGTCTCCGTTTTCTGGGGCGAGCTGGAGGCCCTCGCTTGCTGTTATGGCCTCGCGCATGACTGGTGGCTTGGATTTGGGTTTCTTACTTCCGCCATAGAGACCGCTTAGACGTGAAGATGACGCATAAAGAGACATCAGCCGGTTAAGGGCACCAGGTGAAGAGAACCCAAAGTCTGTGCTGAGAGGGTCGTTGGGCGAGGCTGATGTTTCGGCGATTTGAGCACGGTAGAAGGATTTCAAGGCTGCAAATCGGGCATCAGTACCCATGGGAGGTGCTTCTGGTTCTTGAGGTGCAGATTGCTCTCCTTCTTGCTCGCGTGCAGCCGATTGTTCATCGATAGAGGCAAAGGTGGAAAGTGGGGATTTCAGATCTCCAAAGGTGCGAGAAGCTTGTCTCGACCTATCAAGCGTAGGTTGAGCAGTAGAGTCGGTCATTTTCTGCAGCTGGCTGCGGATGTTTGTCGGCTTGTCGAACTTGATACCGATATCTAGTGTTGTCCAAAGACAATACCCGCAGGATAGCACCCACGGACCCTGTTGGGCTCCATTTCCAGTGGCATTTTCAATTGTACTGACAGCCAATGGGGCCGTACAGACAGGACAATTGAAGCAGTTTCGACCACACCTGGAGCCATGCGCGTTAGTAAATACTCGCATGGGAGGGTGCTTTCTGTAGTACATACCGATTGCCATCACTCCGCACCATGCTACTGGGCGTTTCAAACAAGCAGCTTGGACAGAACCAGCTCACGATCTCCTCTGTAATACATCGAGGACACTTGATCTGGTGGCACTCCTCACAGTAGAGAAGCTGTTCAGGCGGGTACAGTGAGAAATTGGACCGCGGAGAGCGAGGGTCAAAGGTCTGCTCTTCCTCCTCATCCTCTTCGTGTTGTTCATTATTTGTAGGTTCTTTCCTGTCTTTCTCTGAGGGGTTCGCCCGCTCAGGTGGTGGTTTCTGTGGTGATTTCTGCGGCGACTCCCTCGATCTTCGCTTCCTAGCTGGGTCGGGAACCGGGGTGTCGGCGCAGGGACAAGATATGTAGGTGTAAGGGAATGGGCGTGACATATTGATGTGTAGCGATAGTGGCGAGCAAAATGATATGTGATTGCTGTTCAGGCGCGCACGTCGGTCAAATCATGCTTCGAATCCGCGGGGTCGATAGCGGGATAGGGGTGAACGATGGTAGAGGGACCGGGATACAAAGCTCGAGCAGCTGAGAGATCTCTCCGTCTCGTAGATAGGATAGCTTAGTTGTCTAAGCTAAACCTATTGCGCGATGTTAGAGACCAGGGAGGTAAGGAAGATGTTGGCGCGCCAGGACTCACCACAGCAGCGGTCGCAATAGAACGAATCGCACTCAAGGTACTATGCAAAGTATGTACAATGCAACAATGAAGGAATTCGCGATCGGAGAAAACACCAAACACCAATTGCCAGAGAGTCGACGGTCCGCGGAGAGAGAGCGGAGGTGCCGCATCAACAATCGACGTCAGAACAAAATTTAAGCTCGACCTCGCATCTCCCTCCGCAACGCATAATGGCCTAGAGCCCTCACAACACCACAGATCGCAATACTCATTACCCCTACAATGCTATCCTATACATTTCGGTCCAGCCTTTCAAGGCGTTGTATCGCCCCGACAATCTCTCTCCGCACATATGCGAGCCAGACACCCGGCAATCCCATGCTGGAAGTCTTCAACCGGAAAACCAAGCATCTCCAGAAAGATCGCGCAGCCCGGAATGTCGAGGAAAGCCGAAAAGTCGACTACCTGAAAGATGAAGTGGCAATGCGGTTATGCGAGCGATTACTGGTGAGCAAACCTACCGCAAGCAGGGCAGAGAAGAGCGCGCGCTCGCAAGGCCGAAAAGAAAAAGATCACACCCACTGACAAGAGCTTCATGTTCCACAAATAGGATATCAAGCGCAATTTCCCACACGTTCTCGACCTAGGCGCGAACAGCTGCAACATCGCCAAAGCTCTCACAACCCCCAACCTCGACATAACCACGCCGGAAGGAACGGTTTCCCCGCCACTAGCAGACAAAATCTCGAAACTGACCTGCGTGGAGACATCGCGGGCCCTGCTACACCGCGACGAGGATCTACCATTCAACAAGGAGATCGAAATCCAGCGGGATATAATCCCGGACCTTGAGACGCTGCCGTACGAGCCGAACAGCTTCGACGCCGTGCTGTCGTCGCTGTCCATTCATTGGATTAATGACCTGCCTGCTCTGCTGGAGCAGGTGAACACAATACTGAAGCCCGATGCGCCGTTCATCGCTGCTATGTTTGGTGGTGATACCTTGTACGAGCTGCGCGGATCGTTGCAGTTGGCTGATATGGAGCGACGCGGTGGTGTCAGTCCGCATGTGTCGCCGCTGGCTGATGTCAAGGATGTTGGGAGCTTGTTGAACCGGGCTGGGTTTAAGATGCTTACTGTTGATGTTGAGGATATTGTTGTTGAGTTCCCTGATACCTTTGCTCTGATGCAGGACTTGCAGGCCATGGGTGAAAGTAATGCGATTATGAATCGGGACTCGGCACCGCTTTCGCGGGATGTTTTGTTGGCTAATGAGGCTATCTATCGCTCTTTGCATATGGAAGATGATGCCCCTGGTATCCCTGCTACGTTCCGACTGATCTATATGATCGGGTGGAAGGAGGGTAAGAACCAGGCGCAGCCATTGCAGCGCGGCAGTGGTGATGTTAACCTCAAGGATATCCTGGGTGGTGGGGAGTTCGACAGGCCATGAAGCAACCGTATTGAGAAATAGACGATCAAAACGGAAGCGGAAAAGCTCAACATATTGTCACAATATATCAATGTAAAACTACGCTTAAAGCGACACTGGAGGGATATCATCCACAGAGATGTGTGGAATGCAAACCAACCCTCTATCAGGAAGACAAGAACAGAAACAGTAAATCATAAAAAACCTCCATCAAATGCTGTTCTCTCTCAAACCGTCCTGCGGTCCGTCATGACCCGAACAATCGACCCAGTACCAGCCAACTCGACCAATTTCTCATGCCAGCTAAGCAAAACACTCATCTGCTGACCACCACCACCTTCACCCAAGTTACGAGCTTGGATCTGCGAGAACCCAGTGTCCTGAGGTGAAACGTTCTTCCGAGGGGACTGGGCACCACTACCAGGAGCAGACGAGGACATACCCTTGTACCTATAACCAGAACAAAAATTAGCACTCACTCACTCACCCATGACACAAGAATACCCCCTCTAGACAAACTGCCCAGGGGTATCTCTCCACGGGGTAATTGCAATAACGATCCACGTACAGGTACTTCATCAAACAATCAGCACGCTCAGCGCCTCCATCCCCGCTGCACGCACCCTCCAAGATACGAGTCATCTCGCCCTGACGAATCCCCTGCAGAACATCGATAACAGTAGCAAGGTGCACCTCCTTAGCGCGGTCATCGCCGCCCAACGGCGCCGTATCGAGAACGGTCCGGAGCGCGCCCTCAGGGTCACCGCCGCGCAGCAGCTGGCGCACCTGGGTCGCAACGTTGGCGGCGTCACTGGCGGACTCGGGTTGGGGGAGGGTCGCGGGGAGGAGGGAGTCCATGGGGAAGTTGGTTGAGGACTCCGGGTCAAGAGCGTCGATGTTGATGGTGCGGTAGTTGAGTTGGGACATGATCGCGGTTTGGTGGAAGTGGACGTAGACAAGAATTGATTTTTGGAGAGCGTTGTTATGGCTTTGCCTGTTGAGGTCGTTTGCTGAGGGATGTCCGGGGGAGAGCTGTTTGTGGAGAGTGCTCTGTTTGGTATGGCGGTGCGGTGGGGAGCGGGGAGGTTAGTGACGTGGGAGTGTCTGGTGGGATGGGATCGAATGGAGATAGAGAGAGTATTTTCGAGAGAGCACGGAGGGGAGTTCCAATTCAACCGGTCACAAGTAGATTCTGGGGTAGGTCGAGAGAGCAATGAACAGTCAGTCAATTGGGGGGTCGGGAGATGGAGCTGGACACTTGGTTGACGGGTATCTTGTGGCCTGAGGCAGCAATACAACTAGAACCGACCTCAATCCAGCTGCCTGGCTGGATATCATTTCTTATTATGGGAATTATAGAGACATTAAGGTGTTGTCTTGCCAAATCGAGTCAATTTTCATATTTTGTTGAGACGGTACTATAAATCTCACTATATTGCTATATTTTGAGGTCCTAGAAAGTCCCTGTGCATAGTGTAGTGTCTATACACGCTTCTAAGTAGTCAATCAGTTAACCTTATATACAGATAGAGCATGACAAATAAGAGCAAGTAAACAAAAAACGCCAACAACACCAACGCTAAATGTCAATCAAGGAGAGGCAGTAATCGTAATAGGCGGAACAGCAATAGCAGGGGGCGTAACAGGACGCTCAGGGGACTTCTGCTCGCTCAATTCAAACCGAGCAGAAGCCTGTTCAAGATCCGAAGACTCAGATGACTGAGGATCCAATACATCTTCAGTTTCCGACTTCCGTCTGAAGGCACGACGAGTAAGGCGTTTCACAGGCCGGAAGAAAGCCTTGATACCCCGACCAAGGACCTTGCAACCCTTAGAAAGAGGCCGCAGGACAAAAGTCATACCACTAACAACGGCATTGAAGACAATTCCGAAATGGTAGTCAGGGATAACGCGCAGGACAACCGCCCAAGGCAGACAAGCAATAGAGCAGATGATACACACCCCCCAGAGAATGCCACTCAAGCGGGTAACGCCGAAAGCCTGACCACCAACGTAGACGATCATGACCTGACCGCCGACCATGATGGCGTTGATTCCCAGGAACCAATAGTTGCGCAACATGCCTTCGAAGATATTGAATTTGTTGTCCAGGCGGCGGTTGTTGAATTCGTTGAAGATCTGCATCCACACAAAAGTGTTGAATACCACTGTTGCGAGTTCCTTTTCGCGGAGTTCCGGGTGGTTAGGGTCTGAGCTGAGGTGGGCGTTGAGGAGTTTGTCGCCGGCGAAATAAAGCATGAATGTCACAGCCAGTTGGTAGACAGCTTGGCCGAGGATCATCTTCCACATAGTGAGGGTGAAGAGGGAAGCGTGTTTTGGGACGGGTTTGCGGTCGAGGATCTTTTCTGTGGGGGCATCTGTTGCTCTGGATTTTTGATATGTTAGTAAGAAATTGTGATTGAGATATATGGATGAAGGGGATCTCACAGAGCTAAGGCAGCGAACGTATCCATGATCAGGTTCACCCAGAGCAACTGCACAGCACTCAAAACACTAGTGTTATCACTGCTGTAGACAGACGAAACGAAAGTGAGCACCACAGCAGTGATGTTAACCGTAATCTGGAACTGCAAAAACTTGGCAACAGCATCGTTGACAGCCCGGCCCCAAGAAATAGCCGTAACAATAGACCGGAAGTTATCATCGAGAAGGATGATCGAACTCGCTTCCTTAGCGACCTCAGTACCAGCAATACCCATGGAGAAACCGACATCTGCAGTTCGCAAAGCTGGTCCGTCATTGGTACCATCGCCAGTAACAGCGACAGTCTCGCCAAGCACTTTGAGTCGTTCGACTAAGATACGCTTGTCTTCCGGGGATGACCGTGCCAGAACTTGCAGACGGGGGATGACTTCGTCCATCTCCGCGTCTGTCAATTGTCGGAACTTGGGTCCTTCCATCACAAGTCCATCTTCTGTTTTGATTCCACAGGAAGATGCGATGGCTGTGGCCGTGGCGACGTTGTCTCCCGTCACCATCTTGACTTGCACACCTGCAGAGTGGCATTTGCGAATGGCTGCAGGGACCTCGGGGCGTAGAGGGTCTTGAATACCCACGACGCCGACCCAGGTCATGCCATGGAAGACGTCTTCGAAATTGGCGGAGGAAGGGTCCTCAGGGCTCTTAGCCTCTGCGGGAGGCCAGCTAGCGAAGTCCTTATAAACCATACCAATCGTCCGAAGAGATTTGTGAGCATAGTTATCGATGAGTTCCAGAATATGCTGGTTTTGTTGGTCGGAAAGCTGCTCAACATCAATTCTCTCTTTAGAGGAATCGATGTTTGCGATTTGGGCAGTGCAAACGCGGACCATCAATTCGGATGCTCCCTTAACGAGGAGACGGTATCCCAAACCAGGAACACGGTACACGACACCCATACACTTCCTGGAAGAGTCGAAGGGAATCAATTGTACGATTTCAGCAGAGCCACGCTCCGAGACAAGATCCATGCCCATGTAATCACGGGCTAGCTGGAGCATTGCGACTTCGGTCTTGCTACCGACGAATTCTTTACCCCCTTCCTTTTCCTGCTCGAAGGCAGTGGAGTTCAAAGCAATACTCTTGATGATCAAGTCTCGGACGGGGGCTGAGAGTTGCTGAGAGATCTCAGACGTGGTCGTCGAGTTTAGCTCTTCCTCGTCACCATCAGTTGACTGGCTGAAGCTCTGATCCGAGCCCCAAGTTCCAGCAACTACTGTCATCTTGTTCTGGGTAAGTGTGCCTGTCTTGTCGGAGCAGATGACAGTAGCATTTCCCATTGTCTCGCAAGCTCGAAGCACACGAACAAGGTTGTTCTCCTTAACCATTCGAGTTGTAGCAAAGGCCAAAGCCAATGTCACTGCCAATGGAAGACCCTCTATAGAAGCAAGACAGATTAGTAAAGCCCTATAATCAACAGTGCCAGGTGAGATATAACAACTTACCCGGGATAGCAACAACAATGACAGTAACAGCAACAATAAGGATATCAACGAACTCCTTGCCCTTCATAGCTCCATTCTTCTCCGGATGATTAGGCAAATCAGCAACAAACCGGAAGAAAAGAACAAAGAACAAAACACCGGCAGCCCTATAAACAATCAGTAATCCATACCCCCCAAGCCTCAAATTCATAAACAAAGAAAAGGACCAAAACTCACGCAGTACCAAGATACCCAATCCAATCCGCCAGCTTCCCAAGCTTAACCTGAAGCGGCGTAGGGTCATTAGGAGTCTGCAATGAAAGTAAAATCCGCCCATAAGTAGAGTACGGCCCAACACTAGTAACCAAGTAAGTGCCAACACCCTCCAGCACCTTACTACCGGAAATAAGGAACGGATCCAGTTTTTTGGTAGCTCTCCCATCGACTATCTGCTGCCAGACTTCATGGCCGGGTGTTTTCTTCATTGCATCTGATTCGCCGGTAGCGGAGGATTCGTCGCATTTCACGCCGTGGCCTGTTACCAGGACGCCGTCGGCAGGGATTGCGTCGCCGGGTTCCAGGTGGAGGACATCACCGACTAGGATGTCATATATGGAGACCATTGTTGATTTGCCGGAGCGGATAACTTTTACTTCGCGGTCGTTGTTCTGGGGATATGTGTTAGTTTGGAATTTGCTTTTCGGATGAAGGGCTGCGTAGTACTAACCCGTTGGTTGAGTTTGGCGAATTGTCTTTCCTTTTGCCAGTCATTGGCTGCAGTGACAATTGTGACAATGAGGATTGCCACGCAGATGGCTACTCCTTCCACCCAGTCGACGCCTGTGCCTCCGTCGACGGTCTCGTATATCCCGAGGGATAATGAGACAATGGCGGCGATAGTCAACAATATAATAATCTTATCATTATAAGCAATCCAGAACAATTTGAAGAAACCCGTCGACTTCCGAGCAGGCAACCTGTTTTGACTGAAGACACGAATACGATCCTCGAATGGCGAGCCGGCACCTGATGAAACCGGAGCGGGAGGAGGAACCTCAGTCTTGGGTATTGATTTGGCAGCCGACTTAATATGCGTAGAAGGAGCAACCTCGTCGAAGTCGACGGCCCCCTCAAGACAAGCTTCATCGATAGACAAGCCAGCATCAAGATCAGTGCGCAGACCACGTTCCAATCCCTGCAAACCACCAAGAGCATGGAAAGCAGCAAGGGACTTTGGATTCTGCATTTTATTTAGCTGACCGGGCGAGAAGGCAAACCGATTATCCTCCACTTGGAAGTCACTCTCATTCCTCGGGTCTGGATTCAAAGCATCAGACAATGAGACGTCGTCATAGACGACGTTGACTGCGTGGTCAGGGTGGACATCTGAATTGGCACGCGAGCGGACCATCGTATCGGTTGATGAAGCGAATGAGTCCGACCGCGGCCGTAATGTGTCGCCATCTATAGAATTGGATGGATGATGATGATGCGAGGTCTGATGTACCATCAGCCTTGCTGGATCAAGTTGGTTCCAGGCCATGGTTGGCGAGACTGGAGATGTTGGACTGTGATCTAGATCTGTGGGACTAGACCAGGAAGAAGAGGTAGCAGAGAGAGAGCGCTGTATAGAAAGAAAACAAGAAAAAGCGCAGATAGTTAGTCGATTTGGTTCTGGGAGGGTATGTATATGTATTGTATATAGGGTTGATTTGGAAGACCAACCTCTCTGCTCGGATTTGAAAAATCCGTTACTATAACAGGACTTAACAGTGAGTCCTGACGGGGTGTGTCATCGTTAGAGGATGACATGGTGAGGCAGAGCACTCTGCAAATTTAGAGCGAGCTTTCCAAAAGAAAGCCTTAATATTCGTCTCAGGATTGTATCAAATGTCGAATGCCGCGGGGGAAGAGTTCTTATTATCTCAAGTGATTTCCCTCCAGTTGGATGATGGTGGCTGTGTAGTGTGCCCAGAGATGCCGAGACACGATATGGTCAAAGTCCAAGCAGTTCGGCAAGAAGCGCTGACTATGAACAATGCCAAGTAGCGCGAAATATGATACCCAAGAGAAAAGAAAGCGGAAAGTAAATTATACCTCCCTTAAAGAGAGAATAATCGAGGTGGCACTGATCACAACACAGCCCCCTTCCAAGACCAGCGCTACGCTGCCCAGGTATGTGGACCAAGTACAATGTGTACATACAGTAATGAAGGCGAAGTATCATACGACAAAACGATAGGCATCCCCAGAAACAGGAAACAGCTGAGGAATCTACGCGCCGGACCTTTCTTTCTGTAACTGGGTGATGCATGACAGCTATAGCTAAAATGACCAAATCGTCAAAATCAAACATGGATAGCGATACGCCAAGCCGAGTGCGTCCAATGCGAGGGCATGACGCGATTTGGCGCCGGGAGACCGCTCGACTGCGCCTCCATGGGTTGATCCAATGAGGTTGCATAGCAGTCAATATCCCCCCATCAGAGGTATATTGAATTGGCAGTTGACTTTTTGTTGAGTCTAATCAGGCGAGATGAGTCTTTTTGCGTCATGAGGCGTGATCTGCCGAAGTGTCGTTGCGATGGGGATGTCCACTTGAGCGCCTAAGCCGTGTCAAGCCGTGTGTCATGGGCACGCGATATCATGTTCCGTCAGGGGAATTGGCAGAACAAGGATTGGAGTTTTCACTGAGGGAGTTTCTGATTCGAGGAAAGGGAAGGAAAGGAGGCTTAGACGGCTTGGGAGCAGTTTGCCATCTGTGGCGAATGGTGTGGCGGTGCATTATAGATGTGGCGCGGTGATCTACTGTATGGCTCAAGGAGGCTGACCAGGGGTCATCAGGTACCCTATCCACCTGCAGTAAGCCCTAGTTTCACCTAGGAGGCAATACATATACAGCGTATATCCTCGAACAGGCTGACTTTTACGTCTGGAGTCACAGCCCCAGTTTAGGCTACCATCAGTGAGAATAGCTGATCCAAACATTACATTGATTAGCCCGGCTGAAATATGATTCAGACCTCGACACGGGCAAATAATATAAACAGGCCCAATCTCAAAATGACATGTGCAAAGTGACGTATAAAAAAGGGGAAGTGAGAAGGGATTAGGAAGAAATGCCTTACTTTTCAAGGGAAAAGGGAGTCAGAGATGAGAGAAAAGAGAAGGGGGGTATCAATAAGTGAGAAATATAAAACAAGAAACACTCAAAGACAGAGGGAGTTCGCTCAAGAAAGTGACCAAAAAGCGAAGCTGGGGGCAAAATACACTGACTCAAACAAGAAAAATAAACAAGAAAAGACGACCCCGTGCTCACTCGAACGCTCAAGAAACCAGTCGTATCCATATATGGGTAGTGCCAAGCCACCAGCACATCATATCCGTCATTTCACATAGCCCATGCTAGGGCATCACATGTCGATGCCCTCCGTGAATCGACTGCTTCGACTCCCGTCGAAGCTCGGCAAGCTGCGGCCCAACCCATCTGGTCGCTGCGGGACGATGGGAATGGCACTCTGGGGCTGGGCCACAGGATGAGCTGGCGTCACTGTGATGGGAGTGGCAACAGGCACCGTGTTGGAGATGGGGAGGTGCACGGGGGAAGGCGGGACAGGTGGCTGGTGCTCTTCGATCTCACGGGTGTATTTTGAGTCGAGGGGCATACCATATGGCGAGGCAGGGGGCGGAGCATGGAAGGCGGGAGAGCCAGTTGGTCCTGGACCTGGAGAAGTAGGGGGGAAACCTGGGACTGTGGGGGAGTCTCCATCTAGGCCGCCGCCGAATCCATCACCGCCATGTGTGAGAACGGGGGGAAGTTTTCGCCCGGATATCTTTTGGAAGCCGCGTTCGCTGGAATTTGAGTCGATGGTACTTTCGGTACGCACTGTTTGAGTTGACTGACGCCAGCGTTTCATGAAAGCGGGGGCAAAGTATGATGCAGTGAAAAGGGGGTCGTTGCTCGACCGACGTTCGGCGATTTCTCTTGTTCCAGCTCCAGCTACAGTTCCAATTGCTGCGTCGTCCGAGAGAGGAGCATGAGCCCCCATTTTACCACGGAGTAGTCCTCGGCGACGAAGGAAGTAGACAAGGAGGAACAAAAGCAGAGCGAGACCAGCGATCGATCCGACTACCCCACCAACAATTTTGGGTGTAGCGGCGTCACTCGATGAACCAGTTCCTACGGCGGTCGTTTCACTAGCCGTTGGTGTGGAACCGCTACCTGTTTCAGTGCTGGTCTCTTCAGAGCTTCCATAGGAGCTTGTCGAGGAGGATGTATAGGTTGCGGTTGAGCTTTTCGAGGTCGACGAGGCCCAATCTGTTTCCGATTGTGACCAGTAGTACCCATACGGTGAGTTGAAACTAGAAGACGACACGGTTGAAGGAGCAGCAAGAGGAGTCGAGGTCGCCGGAGAGCTGATGGCCGATACAATTCTTGATGACGAGGGAGCACGACTCGTAGTAGATTGAGTCGAATTCGTAATGCTGCTTAATGAGGGTTCGCTAAGCAGTGATGTAGCCGACTGAGTGGCAGACACAAGTGGAGGTAACGTGGGCATTGACAGTTCCGCAGAGATAGAGACAGAGGCAGTCGCGGTTGCAGTCGCACTATCAGATGGTGGTATGGTAAAAGTGCCAACTGATGGATCTGAAAATGTCATCGGAAAAGCAGCCCCAGTCGACTGCCAGAGAGTATGCGAGCTAGTGTCGACTACTTGCAAGACAGTCTCAACAACAGTCGTAGCAGTAGGTGTCGTCTCATCCCGTTTCTGAGGTGATCTATCAGATCCATTCAACTCACGCTCAAGGCACGTGGCATTCTTCGACGGATCGCAAGTCTCATCCGTAATGACATCTGTAGCAGGGAGATTGGGAGTCGCTGACGGAGAATGGTCTTCAAGTAAGCCGATGTCAATGGCATCGTCGGTGAGTTCGGCCTGTAGGTGGTGCCTGGCGCTCATGAGCCTCTCAATGCGAGAGTGGCGGAAATGACTGTGATGCATCTTGTCGATCCCTCACAAATATAGACAATTGTTGACGCGAAGGTAAGATATCAAACAGTGGGGGGCGAAAAGTCCCGTAGATCCTCACAGAGGTTGAGTTTCCACACGTGCGGGAAGAATAAAAAAACGTGATATCAAGGTTGACACGAAAGAAAAGCACGGTCTGGCGTGCACAGGTAAACAAAAGATCGAATTGAGTGGATGATCTCAGACCGGAAAAGAATGACCGAGTCGAGAGGATATGAAAGAGTGGAAGTCGGCAAGGTGTAGCCAACGATGCGACCAAAGAATGAGCATGAATATGCGACGGATACTCGAGACGAGATAGGGCTCAAAATGGCGCGCAGCACAAACAACGACAACACAGAGCAGACAGCGAAACGATGGACGGCGACTCCAAGGTCGGTAGGTACGACTAATCGAAGAGAAGTCGACTAGGTAATCAAACGAATGAAGGACTCAGCGCACTAAGACACGTTAGCATAGATTCAATGTGGGCTGACCAACGGATACAGTGTCCACCACACACCTGGAGAGTAAAGGAGTGACGAAGAAACAAGAGAACCCAGCCTCCTAGTCCATAGTGCAAAGCAGAGAGAAGAATTGAAAGGTCCCGACGAGGGAACACACACCGTGTTCACACTGAAAGGGGGAAACAATAAGCAAAATGGAAGAGGAAAGGAAGACAGAAAACGGCGGAAATGAGGACCCAGACCGAACCAAACAATCCCTTACCCGACCCGAATTAGTGTCGACAGCTTGAACAGATCAGATAGGGTTCCACTTTTGTTCCTGTTGCTCTTGTTTCAATGCTTCTGTCCTCTACTCTCTCCTCTACTGTAGAGCACCCCCAGGTTCAGGTCAATTGTTCTTGTCAAAGAGAAAGAGAGAACAGAAAAGCCAACGGGGGCTGCAGGTACGGGCGATCAACCAGTAGAAAGTGACAGGTGGGGGCAGCGATGAGGTTCTGGCCCAGACTAGGCCAGTTAGGGTTTAGTGGGCCATGCAGGTTTAATTATCTGCTTACATGTGTACAGTAGAGGCAAGGAGTCAGTATAAACAAACAGTGACAGTAGTGACTGGGTAGTGGTCGACTATGTACTATGTACTATGTACTGTATTGCTTACTTGGCTAAACAAGGTCTGGATAATGCATATATTTAAGCTTTAAGCTCGACTGGAAGGAATGTGCCATGTTAGAGTATTGCCGATCCATTCTCCAGCTATTTTAAGATATCAGACCATCGGAAAACGTGGGTGCATTCCATATCTACGTTTTATCTTATTTGGCACAACGCAAGAATCAACGTGAGAGGGGTATTTAGTAACGGGTTCTTGGGGCAGAGAGAACTCGCTTAAAAAGTCTCGAGGTCCTCAGCCACAACCTCCTCCCCTTCAGCAGGGATCTCGAATCCGTCCTAGGGCTAGTGTCAGTGCGGGGGTTCCGGCGTGAGGGATCTAGGCGAACGAACCTCGGTCGAGTACAGAATGCCCTGGATGTGCTTAACAAGAGTGTCCTCCTCCTTCTCCAGTTCAGGGTCCTCCTCAATGGCGCTCTGCAGCAGGAGTTCAATATCGCGCAGCTTGGCAAAGTAGAAGTCGCGCTCCTTCTCCAGACCGGCAATCGCCTCCTTCTGTGTCGCAATCTCTGTCTGCAGGGCTGCGGTCGCAGCTCCGGTCGCAGCGCCGGCAACGCGGGGACGAGCGGCGCCAGTCGTTGGGGTCACGCCGCGACGAGCGCTGTGTGAGGATGGGGCGCGGGAGGTGGGAGCTGGGCCACCAACGGAGGCAGGCGCGCCGGAGGCCTTGCGTCGGCCGACGGAATCATATTCTCCACCGGGATAGTGTTGGTCCCAGTATTTCTTCACCCACTGGAGGAACTCTAGGTTATCCTGCATGCGGCACTTCGTGAGGGACTGGACGGGGATGGGCTTGTCGACCTGATGGCGGGCGAAGACATCTGCACGAGTGGGACGTGTTAAATAGGGACCGTGGATGGACATGTCGGTACGTACTCTGGAGGACTTTGAAGTTCTGAAGGTAGGCGTATTCAGTGTTGACGTTGAACTTGACTCGCGACATGGGAACATCCACTGAACAAAGAAAAAGCCCAGTCAGTAAATGTGATACAACCACTGTGGCCTGACCGCCTCTCGATCGATTGTCTTGCAAAACAATTGTTACATACTGAAGATAGAGTCGAAGATCTGACATAGCGCAGCACTGTCATGGCAGAGACACGTTAGCACGTCTGATATATATCAACGGGCAGGTCGGCAAGCCCAGGCAACGGAGAGGGGGTTTGGCAAATCATACCCAGTTCCGCACTGCTCAATCTTGGTAAGGTTCAGCTGCAGCAGGCTGTTAAGCCATGCCAGCAATTCCTGTCTAGAGACCGAAATTCAACCGTAAGCAAGGGCCGATCAGTTGGAAGGCGGGGGAATAGGAGAAAAGCCGAACCTGGATTCACCCATGGTGGGGTAAAATTGATATCAATGAAAACGCTAAAGCGATATGAAGAGTATGGGGTGAGCGCTAAGCGAGAAAATGCTCGAGCGAATAGAATACCACACTGGAATTTTCGACAGTCTTCTGATGGAAAACAGCAAGAGGGTTTGTTTTGATGCTAAAATCCACGGATCAATCCAAGTGGCACTAGTCCGCTTTTGCCGGCGAATCACGGGAGGATTAGTTAATCCGAGTCACCGCTTGTTCCACCGCCTGATACATTGGCATAATCTTATCACCTCGACCTATGTCTATCGGTTATCGATATTGCATTCCAGAGTGAATAGCTCAAAATTAATTAATGTATGTCCCAAATTACCAAGCCGCTACTCTTGCGATAATGTGATGTTTATGCTGAAGACAAACACAGAATCTATTTCACAACTTCCTGTTTCCGTGCCGTGTGGCATAGTCTCGTCTAACTCCCCAAATAATATATATGCCAAAGAAACCCACGTATGAAAAGCAAAGAGCGCTAGATGAACAGTATATAAACCAGCAAAAGAAAGCAAATGGATCACTCCTCCAAAAGGTCGATCCCGTCTAGACCATATCCAAAGTCCATAATAACAGTGCGGGCATCCTGACTTGTGGCAACAATACGTCTATAATCAGACTGCACACTCAACATCCAGCTCGTGGTCCAGCCAGGGAAGTTGATAGACAGATTACCAGTGTCACGGTCAAATACCTTGACACTCATATCATAGCTGCCGCTAACAATGCGCTTATTGGCGCTATCCAAGTGCAAAGACCGGATTAGGCCGGAGTGGCCACGGAGCTCGTTGACAAGATCGCCGGTGTTGGCGTCGAATTGGTAGATTATGCGGTCATTTCCGCCAGTCAAGATGGTCCGGCCATCGTCGCTGAACTCGACACACGCCAGGCCTCGGTCTTTGCTGACGAATTCTTTCACGCATTGGCCTGAAATCACGTTCCACATCTTGGCTACGCCGTCGCCACTGGCTGAGACGATAAGATCGCCGCGCAGTTGAACGGCGTTCACGGGTCCGAGGTGGCCAACGAGCTGTCTCAGCAGCTCGCCGGTCTTACGGTCCCATACGCAGATGGTGGCGTCCTTGGAGCATGAGACGATGTATCGGTCGTCGAAGCATACATCCAGGACACCGGCGTGGTGACCTGAAAGACGGTGGATAGGCCGGTAGTCGTTCTTGATGTCCCACACGATGCAGGTATGGTCCGAAGATCCAGTCACCATAATCTCCTCATCGAAACGCAAACACAGAATTGATGCGCTGTGGTACACCGACTCTTCCTCCGGACCAGAGCCTTCGTCGATATTATCAGGATGGACGGATGGTGGGGTGATAGTCAGGAAGGGGGAGGTTCCATTAGCCTGGGAAGTCGGACTGTTCACTGGACCGCGGCCATAAACACGCTGCGATGGTGGTCCAATGATCTTCTGGCACGCCCAGGGATAGTGAGCATCCCATACGCGAATTGTCCGATCACGAGATCCTGTAATAATTTTCTTCCTTGAGGTGGGTTAGCGTGATACTGTGTCAGATGATGAATGGTGGAACATACTCGTCAAATTGGGAGCAATAGACGCTATCCTGGTGGCCCTGTAAGTAAATGGCGGCAGCCTTGCCGTCCTTCCAGCGTTGATCAAGAGCGCGCCGGGTCAAGTACATCTTCTTCCAGTCTTGGTTCGGAATTGACTTGCCCAGCCCGGAAGACTGCTTCACCTTGGAGGTCGTATCACTCGTAGGTCGTCGGCCATATGCACCACGGAAAACGCGCTTCCACACGGGCGAGGAGCACGCCTGGAGCCAGCTACGAGACACAGCCTCGCAGGTCATAAGGGAGTCAGGGTCCAGATATGAGAGAATGTGAGCTGAAATCTCAGCCGGGAGGAAGCCAATGGGGTCTGAAATATGTTAGCAGGGAAGTTACAAGCATACTCGTGAATGACGCTTACCAAGACGCCGGATGCCCGGCAAATCAACATTTGACACCTCTGACCGATCGCGAAGATCGATACCAATGCCACTCTCCGAGTCCTGAGGGATTCTCATTTCGAGAATCTTATTCGACTCCCGTTCAGCCTTGGCCATACGTGCAACCTCCATTTGTTCATTCTGCGCAGCGGCAGCGGCGCGGGCCGCCGCACCCCCGAACCGATTGTTTGGCAGAATCGGAGGTTCCTGCCCCCGACCCGGAATGGGGGCTGGGATTGAAGCAATGGGGGCGTAGAAGCCATGCAGAGCAGACACACTGTTCAACGAAGGACGACGATTGATGCTATACCCCCGAGGCCAATTGTTCGGTGCCACCCGGGCATCCCAGCTGCCGGAGGCGATATGATGCTTGTGCCCGGTACGACCCGTAACATGAGCGTAATGGCGATCCTCACACTGTTCATGGCCATCCTGGTCGTCATGAACATTTTCTATCACAGCAAGACTTTGCTTGGAAGACTTGTTGCGAAGGCTGACTGACAGCCGGCGCCCAAGAGCAACGATGCCGTC